AGCTCCAGCACCCGTAGTCCCAGCACCCCCAGGCCCAGCACCCGCAGGCTCAGCACTCCCAACAGCACCACCTGCAGCAGCACCTGAGTCACCTGTGACCTCGACAGGCTCAGCGACGGGAGGAGGGTCTACCTGAGAGACACCTGAAGGAGCAGGACCCTGAGGGGGAAGGGGGTCTACCGGAGGGGGACCAGGAGCAAGGAAAAGCGGCGGGGGAGGGAGGGGGGCAGTACGGTAGGGGAAGAGACGGTAAAAAGGGACCGACTCGTCAAAGGTGACGTCCTGAGAGGCGAAGACCCGGCGCGAGGTGGGGTGGTAAAACTGCCAGCCCGGCGCGTCAGGAACAAAGCCAAGGAAGACACAGGGAAGCGTGCGGGAGGAGAGCTTGTCCGCGGACGTATCGCGGACAAGGGCACGAGCACCCCACACCCGGAAGCGCGACGCATCGCCAACCTCCCCCGTCCAACGCAGTGTGGGCGAGGTCTCCGGCAAGGAGACACGGGGCCAGAGGTTGAGCTGATGCGCGGCGTACCGGACAGCAAACGGCCACAGAAAATGGGGAGCCGCCGCGTGGACCAAGGAGGTACGAGCGACCTCCATGACCAGGCCAATGCGGCGCTCAGCAACCCCATTCTGCTGTGGGGAGTCCGGAAGCGTGAAGGTCTGCTCGATGCCCTCCGCCTGACAGAAGGTCCTCAAGAGGTCGGAGGAAAACTCACCACCTCTGTCAGAGTGCAGACGCAGGACAGGAAGATCCGTCCGGAAACGGCGGCGGAGCTGGAGACGAACTGTGCGGATCCAAGGGATCAGAACAGCAGGGACCTCACCCTTGGTGCGCAAGGGGAAGACCGTGGTGTAACGCGAGTAGTCGTCGACAACCAGCAAAAAGTACCGCTCACCGCCCTGGCCACGAACGCGGGCTGCGCCCCACACGTCCAGGTGGAGGGTCTGCAGAGGAGCCTCTGTCGGGGGGAACGAGGAGGAGTGAGGAGCGGCGCGCTGCCGCCCCTCGACGCAAGGAAGGCAAGGCGGCGCAGGCGAGGCAGGGAGGGGAGGGAGGGACCTGGGAAGACCAGACACAAGGCGACGACTGTGCATGCCACGGAGGCGTGGCAAGGAGGGGTGACCCAGGCGGTGATGCCAGAGAAGAGTCTGGTGCGACAGGGAACGACACTCACAGGTGTGGGCCACCAGACCTGACGCGGACACCTGACCGACAGCAGCGACCTGAGGAGACGCAGTGGTCAGTGTGTAGAGACTCGACCCCGGCCGACGAGTAAACGTAGCCAGGTGACGGCCGGTCCTGGAGCACGTGCAGATCGCCACACGCTGTCCTCCAGGGGTAAAGGTGTCAACCCACTGATCCTGGATGACAGCGTTGCTCACCAGGTTCGTCGAGAACGAGGGGAGGTGGAAACCTGTCAACGAGCCAGACGGAACCGCCGGACAAGGGAGCACAGTGGTGGACTGGGCAAGGACTGGGCCCCCAGAGGGGTCAGCCAAGGAGACTGGGACCGGTGCAGGAAGCGGTGTGAGCTCAGTACTGTCTCGAAAGAAGCAGCGGGAAGCACCTGAGTCAAGGGTGAAGGTGTGACAGGTCTCAGCCGGTGCAGTACCTGAGAGAGCAGTCTCTGTGGGTGCTGTACCTGAGAGAGCAGACTCGCAAGCAGCAGGGACAGTGCTGGAGGGAGCAGGTACAGGGGGCACCATACCAGAGAGAGCAGACTCACTAGTACCTAGGGCAGCGGGCCCTATACCTGGGTCAGGCGGCACACACAAGTAACAGTCTCCCTCGGCACTAACAGTCAATGCATACATGGCAGCAATAATAGCATCATAGTCAAGAGCAAAGATATCAACACCAGCCCTCATCAGCTCAGCCCAGCGAGGGCGCTCAACATCCTCGCCCATCTTCTCACGCCAAGCGTCGTCAAGGCGGAAGAAGCAGCGGTACTGAGTGTGGAACTTTCCACACGTCTGCCCCTTGCGATCACCTGTGCGAATGACATAGGAACAGCGGCCACTGCCCCCCGACGTCCCACGCTGAGCAAGCCACTCACGAAGCTGCTGGGTCGTCTGGGGACGCTGCTGCTGCTGGGAGCTCTGGCCCGAGACGGTGCCTCCACTCCGACCTCCACCGCCGCCACTACCTCCGCTCCGACCGCCACCACCGCCACCGCCACCGCCACTACCGCCACCGCCGCCGCCACTGCCGCCGCTGCCACCACCGCCACTGCTTCCGCCGCCGCCCCCTCCTCCGCCGCCGGCCCCACTCCCACCGGCACTCCCGCCACCGCTCCCTCCAGCACCGCCTCCCCCCCCACCTCCCCCACCAGCGCCACCCCCGCCACCCTTGCCCCCCTTGCCCTTGCCGGTGCGGCGCCTCCCACCAGGAGCAGAAGCAGCGCCAGCAGACTCAGCACCAAGGAAGTCAACAGCAGCAGCAGTAGCATAGGAGGGAGCGAGGGGAGAGGGAGAGCACCCCTCAAAGATGGGGGTGCGAGGAGCGCCGCGAGCAGCACCAACAGCTACAATGCTCTTCTTGGCTGCTAGCAGCTTCTCCTCTAGGAGGGCGACAGTGAGCTCAGTGGGACAGCGAGCAAGGAAATAGTCGCACACTGAGCTGAGGGTGTCAGGGAGACGGGTGACTATGAAGTGGAGTGCCCAGTACAGGGGAGGGGGGTTCTTAGCGCAGAACTCGGTGGGAAGGGCGGCACGCAGGCGAGCATCACTAGTGCGAAGGTGGGTGATAAGATCGGCGACTGTAGCAAAGGTGGACAGGTCAGGGAACAGGTAAGGCAGCATGAGACGGCTAAGCTCGGCTGTGGCAGGTGAGGAGTAGCGAGCAACGACAGCGTCGTATAGGGCTTTAGCGGTTTTGCAGTCGCCAAAGTGCTCTAGCTCAGCTAACGGCAGGTGACTGCGAATAGCCAGGCGAGCTGCAGCGTCACGAGTCTGCCACTGTGAATGTACACTAAGCTCGGCTGTGGCAGCAGGAGCAGCGGCAGCACCAGACGCGTAGTCATAGAGGGAGATGTGGTCCGTGCTATTGCTCATAAGATACAACTGCAGGTCGTCGAGCCAGGAAGTAAACTGCACGGGACGGCCCTCAGCATCGAAGGAAAGAACGCGAATAGAGGCCATAGCTCAGGCGTGAGGGCACAGCAGAGCAGCGGCAGCAGCAGAGGGGACGCGCTAGAGCGAAGCTAGCAGCCACAGCAGGAGCAAGCGGCGGTGCACAGGCAGGAAGCAGCAGGCGAGGCGGGCGGCGCTGCAGGCGGGAAGTGCGGCGGGCGGGCTGCGAAGCGGGCAGCGGGGCGAGCGGGCGACGCGGCGAGCGGGCAGCGCGGCGGGCGGCTGCGAAGCGGGCAGCGGGCGGGCGGGCGACGCTGCAAGCGGGCAGCGGGCGGGCGGGCGACGCTGCAAGCGGGCAGCGAGGCGGGAGGGCGACGCTGCGGGCGGGCAGCGGGCGGGCGGGCGACGTTGCGAGTGGGCAGCGAGCGAGCGGGCGACGCTGCGAAGCGGGCAGCGGGCGGGCGGGCGACGCTGCGAGCGGGCAGCAAGCGGGCGGGCGACGCTGCGAAGCGGGCAGCGAAGCGGGCGGGCCGCGAAGCGGGCAGCGAGCGGGCGGGCGGGCTGCGAAGCGGGCAGCGGGGCGAGCGGGCTGCGAAGCGGGCAGCGGGGCGAGCGGGCGACGCTGCGAGCAGGCAGCGCGGCGGACGAGGGGCGAGCGGGCAGCGTGGCGGGCGGGCGACGCTGCGAGCGGGCGGCTCGGCGGGCGGGCGACACTGCGAGGGGCGCGCGAGGGCGCTAGCGAGGGGCGCGCGAGGGCGCTAGCAAGGGGCGCGCGAGGGCGCTAACGAGGGGCGCGCGAGGGCGCTAACGAGGGTGCGCGAGGGCGCTAACGAGGGGCGCGCAAGGGCGCTAACGAGGGGCGCGCGAGGGCGCTAACGAGGGCGCACGAGGGCGCTACGAGGCTAGGGCACGGGGTAGCGTGGTAACCGCATGCGAGCGGTGGTGGGCCCTTAAAAAAAACGGTCGGTAGGTCCTAGGGACCTCCTGCTCTGAATACCATATCAGAATAACTAGGCAAGAAAATGGATGAACTAGCAGAAGTTTGGGTACAAATATGAAACCCTAGTTGGGGTTGTACCCCATATTGTCTACCCCACTACAGCCTACCAACATATAACACATTACAATTTAACACTCACCACTTGTTGGTGATTATCTCGCACGACGGCGTGTTGCGGATATTGACAGCCTTTCTTAAGAGGGGGGGTGGGGGGGAGGGGAGTGTAAGGAATTTTCCCGAATTCCTTATCGGGGTTGACTGCTTCGCGTACAGCCCCGATTTTTGGACTTCACACGTTCGGCCGATCTCAACGCTGCCGAGGCTCCTCGCGTCGCCTTCGGCATTTCCCATCGCCAAACCTGCACCCAACCTCGCTCGTCCGAGGTTCCCTCCTAGCTAGGCTAGCCCCTATTTTAGTCTGTGCCTTCATTGTATTGACAGTTCGTTCAATCGCAGTCTCGTTATTCGTTTACCTGCGCACTCTTCTTTACAACTCATAACACCGGCAATTAGAGTCAATGTGAGCAATAGCTATCAACAGTCTCAGTTTGAATGAATGATTGTGTTGTACCACATCAATGTAGCATTCACATTTCTAATAAAGAGTGCGGTACTAACTTGTACATAGCCGCCAAAACAAACCACGATCGCAAGTCACACCTCACCTCTCGCGCAGCCAGGAAGCCATGGCTTGCGCACTTCGCTCATCCGTGCGTCACCTGCGCTCCGCCGCCACGACCACCGCCGCCGCATTCGCCGCCCGCCCCGCACTCCGCAGCGCGCAATGCATCGCCGCCTCTCTCGAGTCCGCCGTCCCCTTAACCCCAGCACGGCCGTCCACCGTCGCGGCCTCTTCTCTCGCGTCGCCGCCACTGCCAGCACGACCAGCAGCATCAGACCTCCTCGCTCGATTCCAACTGGCGTCATGCGCGCCGCGCTTTTCGATGTCGGCGCAAGGCGCGCCGAGCGTTGATCGGATCGCAGCCGCAGGCAGATCAGAAACACAAGCCTCCCATCCGTCGATTTTTCATTTATCTGCGCCAGAGAGCTTCGGCACGACCCAGAGGCACCGAATTAGCACCCTCGTCGCCCTCCCGCGTGCGCTAGCCGTCAGCCGCGTGCCCTCCGCCGCCTCCGGCGCACCGTCGCTGCGCGCGGCGCACGACGCAGTGGTTGCGGCGCGGGCGGCGGGCGCGGGGCAGGCGAGGAGCGTGTTCGTTGAGGTGAAGAAAGGCGACGTGGATCGCGCAATCAAGAAGTGAGTTAGGCTTTGAGTAAGAAGTGAGGCATGGCGGAGAGGGAAGATGGCCATGGTGGGTGCTGAAGGGAAAGCCACGCATTCGCTTATTTGTCCGTCCATTCTCTCACCCACCCATTCTCTCACCCACCCACCCATGCACTCATGCACGCATGAGCCTCGGGAAACAGGCTCGGGGAGCAGCCTCGGGGAAACAGCCTTGGCGAACAGCCTCGGGGAAAGCTTGGGCTATTATTCCTCTGCTGCTACCTCCCCTTGTCGCACCGTCCCCCTCCTCCCCACCCACCCCGGCACACGACCCCTTGCAACCCCCGAACCCACCACCCCTCTCCCCTCCCCCTTGCAGGTTCAAGATCAGGCTACGCACGGACAACGCCATAAGGGTGGCGACGCGAGGGCAGCATTCTTATCCCCTTGTCCCCCCCACACCCTTCCTCCCTCTCCTCCTTCCCCCCCTCTTTGCAGGTTCAAGATCAAGCTACGCACGGGCGGACAATGCCGTAAGGGTGGCGAGGGCGAGGGCGAGGGCGAGGGCGAGGGCGAGGGCGAGGGCGAGGGCGAGGGCGAGGGCGAGGGCGAGGGCGAGGGCGCACCACTGGAAGGGCGCGGAGCTGAAGCGTCAAGGAGGCGGACATGACTCCCATGCCCTTGCCGTTCATCCTCTTGTCACTCTTCTTTTCGCATCCCTCCATCGCAGGTTTAAGATGAGGCTCAGGACGGACAACGCGATTCGGGTGGTTTAGGCAAGGTCGGACAACGCGATTCTGGAAGGGCGCGGAGCTGAAGCGGCTGCGCTCCCCCCTCTCCCCTCCCCCCGGCCCCCCTCTCCCCCCTCTCCCCTCCCCCCGGCCCCCCTCTCCCCCCTCTCCCCTCCCCCCGGCCCCCCTCTCCCCCCTCTCCCCTCCCCCCGGCCCCCTCTCCCCCCTCCCCCCTCCCCCCCCCCCCCGGCCCCCCTCTCCCCCCCCCTCTCCCCTCCCCCGGCCCCCCTCTCCCCCCTCTCCCCTCCCCCCGGCCCCCCTCTCCCCCCTCTCCCCTCCCCCCGGCCCCCCTCTCCCCCCTCTCCCCTCCCCCCCCCCCCCCCCCCTCTCCCCCCTCTTCTTTGCAGGTTCAAGATAAAGTTACGAAGTGACAACGCTATCCGCGTGGCTCGGGCGAGGTCGCACTACTGGAAGGGCGCGGAGCTGAAGCGGCTGCGGGCCAAGGAGGCGGAGATAAGGCGGCAGCAGCGGGACTTCCGACAGAAGCTCGCGTGGATCATGGCCAAACGCGCTAGGTATGGTGGGATGAGCATGGGTAAGGGCCAAGGCTCGAGGTAGAGCAGGCAGGGTACTGGGGATGGTCGCGCGGCAGCAGAGGGGCTTCTGCCACAACCTCGCGTGGATTGTGCTGTGGGCAAACACGCTAGTGGGATGAGATGTGATGCTAGGTGGGTGGGGATCTTGGCCAAGCGTTCCAGGTATGGTGGGATGAGAGATGGGGGTGATGGGTGGGATGGGCAAGGGTCCAGGTGGGGTAAGGTGCCGGGGAGAGAGTGCAGCAGTGAGCATGGATGCATGGGGAGGGAGGGCCATGACTCCTGGTGGGTGGCATGGTGGGCTCATGCATGGCGTGGTATGGGCACGAGCTCCAGTTATGGGCAAGAGCTCCAGGTATGGGCAAGAGCTCCAGGTCTGGGCAAGAGCTCCAGGTATGGGCAAGAGTTCCAGGTATGGGCAAGAGCTCCAGGTATGGGCACGAGCTCCAGGTATGGGCACGAGCTCCAGGTATGGGCAAGAGCTCCAGGTATGGGTACGAGCTCCAGGTATGGGCAAGAGCTCCAGGTATGGGCACGAGCTCCAGGTATGGGCAAGAGCTCCAGGTATGGGCAAGAGCTCCAGGTATGGGCAAGAGCTCCAGGTATGGGCAAGAGCTCCAGGTATGGGCAAGAGCTCCAGGTATGGGCACGAGCTCCAGGTATGGGCAAGAGCTCCAGGTATGGGCACGAGCTCCAGGTATGGGCACGAGCTCCAGGTATGGGCAAGAGCTCCAGGTATGGGCAAGAGCTCCAGGTATGGGCAAGAGCTCCAGGTATGGGCAAGAGCTCCAGGTATGGGCAAGAGCTCCAGGTATGGGCAAGAGCTCCAGGTATGGGCAAGAGCTCAAGGTATGGGCAAGAGCTCCAGGTATGGGCAAGAGCTCCAGGTATGGGCAAGAGCTCCAGGTATGGGCAAGAGCTCCAGGTATGGGCAAGATCTCCTCCAGGTATGGGCACGAGCTCCAGGTATGGGCACGAGCTCCAGGTATGGGCAAGAGCTCCAGGTTTGGGCAAGAGCTCCAGGTATGGGCAAGAGCTCCAGGTATGGGTACGAGCTCCAGGTATGGGCAAGAGCTCCAGGTATGGGCACGAGCTCCAGGTATGGGCAAGAGCTCCAGGTATGGGCAAGAGCTCCAGGTATGGGCAAGAGCTCCAGGTATGGGCAAGAGCTCCAGGTATGGGCAAGAGCTCCAGGTATGGGCACGAGCTCCAGGTATGGGCACGAGCTCCAGGTATGGGCAAGAGCTCCAGGTATGGGCAAGAGCTCCAGGTATGGGCAAGAGCTCAAGGTATGGGCAAGAGCTCCAGGTATGGGCAAGAGCTCCAGGTATGGGCAAGAGCTCCAGGTATGGGCAAGAGCTCCAGGTATGGGCAAGAGCTCCTCCAGGTATGGGCACGAGCTCCAGGTATGGGCACGAGCTCCAGGTATGGGCAAGAGCTCCAGGTTTGGGCAAGAGCTCCAGGTATGGGCAAGAGCTCCAGGTATGGGTACGAGCTCCAGGTATGGGCAAGAGCTCCAGGTATGGGCACGAGCTCCAGGTATGGGCAAGAGCTCCAGGTATGGGCAAGAGCTCCAGGTATGGGCAAGAGCTCCAGGTATGGGCAAGAGCTCCAGGTATGGGCAAGAGCTCCAGGTATGGGCACGAGCTCCAGGTATGGGCACGAGCTCCAGGTATGGGCAAGAGCTCCAGGTATGGGCAAGAGCTCCAGGTATGGGCAAGAGCTCAAGGTATGGGCAAGAGCTCCATGTATGGGCAAGAGCTCCAGGTATGGGCAAGAGCTCCAGGTATGGGCAAGAGCTCCAGGTATGGGCAAGAGCTCCTCCAGGTATGGGCACGAGCTCCAGGTATGGGCACGAGCTCCAGGTATGGGCAAGAGCTCCAGGTTTGGGCAAGAGCTCTAGGTATGGGCAAGAGCTCCAGGTATGGGTACGAGCTCCAGGTATGGGCAAGAGCTCCAGGTATGGGCACGAGCTCCAGGTATGGGCAAGAGCTCCAGGTATGGGCAAGAGCTCCAGGTATGGGCAAGAGCTCCAGGTATGGGCAAGAGCTCCAGGTATGGGCAAGAGCTCCAGGTATGGGCACGAGCTCCAGGTATGGGCACGAGCTCCAGGTATGGGCAAGAGCTCCAGGTATGGGCAAGAGCTCCAGGTATGGGCAAGAGCTCAAGGTATGGGCAAGAGCTCCAGGTATGGGCAAGAGCTCCAGGTATGGGCAAGAGCTCCAGGTATGGGCAAGAGCTCCAGGTATGGGCAAGAGCTCCTCCAGGTATGGGCACGAGCTCCAGGTATGGGCACGAGCTCCAGGTATGGGCAAGAGCTCCAGGTTTGGGCAAGAGCTCCAGGTATGGGCAAGAGCTCCAGGTATGGGTACGAGCTCCAGGTATGGGCAAGAGCTCCAGGTATGGGCACGAGCTCCAGGTATGGGCAAGAGCTCCAGGTATGGGCAAGAGCTCCAGGTATGGGCAAGAGCTCCAGGTATGGGCAAGAGCTCCAGGTATGGGCAAGAGCTCCAGGTATGGGCACGAGCTCCAGGTATGGGCACGAGCTCCAGGTATGGGCAAGAGCTCCAGGTATGGGCAAGAGCTCCAGGTATGGGCAAGCGATTGGGATGATGGGACGTGGGGCGATGCATGATGGGTGAGCTGTGCACATGGCATGTGGGGCGACGGGGAGAGAATGTACCTTAGACCTTATATAATGACGGCCTTTCTTTGCTATCGGGATTAGTGCTTTTCTATCAGGAATATCGTGTTTGTACTGAAGCACACAACTCGATCGCATCAGCTTGGTTCTGCTCCAATGGTTGCCTCTCCAGTTTTAGCCGCGACCCGAATGAGGTTTGTCTCATACGACCCCATTTGTCTCATACAACCCCATTTGTCTCATACGACCCCATTTGTCTCATACGACCCCATTTGTCTCATACAACCCCATTTGTCTCATATGACTCCATTTGTCTCATACGACCCCATTTGTCTCATACGACCCCATTTGTCTCATATGACCCCATTTGTCTCATACGACCCCATTTGTCTCATACGACCCCATTTGTCTCATACGACCCCATTTGCCTCACATTCCCCGACACTTGTTTATCTGCTCTGAACCTTGTTATGGTGCTGTGCAGGGGATTCTGATGCAAAGGTCACAAATTTTCTTGCACTGCCCTAAACTTCCAGCCACGGTATCTGCCCTAAGGCACAAAACGTCTAGGAGTGTAGAAATTCTACCCAACTGGTTGATCAAAATACATCTCTCTTGTCCCGACCATTTGAGAAAGTCTCAAAGATCAGATTCACGGCAACACAGATTAGACCGTCACCGTTAGATTGGTTTTGATTTTGACAATTGAGTGTAGCATTTGCATAGTGGTGCATACATAGTGTAACAACTCAGGTGTCAAACTACCACCATCCCCCTTATGGAGATTCCTTATTGAATTTCTCCAGGGTGGTCAGCTGATGCGCAAGCACAGTACATAGACTGCAGATTACCATATGTTACTGGAGTGCCCAGCTAGCAAGAGGTAATCATGCTACCATATGTCACATGCGGTAGCTGAAAGGTTTGTATGCATTGTATCATGGGTGAAACCACAACTGTACGGATGATTCACTTGGAACGGAGCCGAGTATCCTCTATCAGCAGGCGCATGAATCGTCTCCGCCTCTTCACAATCCTCACGGCATCCGTGGCGGTCGCAATCCCCATCTCGTCGTTGGTGAAAGCCGGCACAGGCCCAAATAGGCAGTAGGCCAGTATGGCAGCTGCAAGCATCCCAATCCCAACCCAACAAACAGGTAGAGGCAGCAACAGGAATGAAACAGTGGGAAGGGAAACAGCAGGAAGTGAATCACGAAAAGCATGAACTGACATACAGAAGAAATCAGCAACAGCACTGTACATTGTACGCTATACACTGCACTGTGCACTGTACACTGTACGCCATACCCAGCTCATGAATGGCGAGTCGATTCGCAATGCGGTTCCGCAGCAGCGCCTGGATGAGCGCCAGCAGCGAGTCCACCACACCCAGCTGCACCGCACCCAACCGCTCTGCCAGCAGCGTAGCCGCTGCTCCCCGTGCCCACCCCTCCCTACACGCCACCTCCTCTCCCACACTTGGCGGAATAATAGGCTCGGGGAGGGCTAGGAGGAAAGAAACAAGCGCACGAGCCATGGTGAGAGGGGAGGTTTCGGTGGGGAAGGGTGTGCCAGTGTCGAGTGCGAGACGAATGGGTGCAATCTGTAGCTCCTGAGCTACTGCACCCAGTGCTGCAGCCTTGGCCGCTAGGAACTGAGTCGACTCTGCCCCTTCGCCTTCCCCTGCCCCTGCTACCGCTGCTCCCCCTCCTCCCCCTCCTCCTGCTGCGAGGTCTGCTGCAGCTGCTCCCACTGCCCCTGCTGCGGCACCCACGGCGCCTGCAGCAACTGCTACAGCCAGAGCAGCAGCGGTAGAGAGCCCAGCCACCCCGCCTCGACTCAGGGTGCGAGATAGCTGCGGCAGCACACCACCTGCACCACCAGCAGCGCCGCCGCTGCCCCTGCTGCTCCCAAAGCTGCCGCCGCCGGGGCTGCTGCTGCTGATGCTGCTGCTGCCAGGGTTGCTGTTGAAGCTGCTCTCGGGAGTGGTGGAAAGAGAACTAACCGCAGCAGACAGCACATCGGAGGACAGACTCGCGCTGCGCGTGTGCGAGAGCGAGTGAGGGTGCCCGTGCGGGGTGGATTGCGAGGAGGGGAAGTGGGCTGCGCGGGTGGCGTCGTCTTGGTCGAGAGAGAGGTCAATGCCGAGAGCAATGGGGTCAAAGGCGGATGAGATATCCTGCCCGGAGTCCAGCAGGAAGGTGAGCATGCGCGCCACCTCCTTGGGCACCTCAAATGCGTCTGATGCATGGGATGGGCTTCCTGCTGCTCCTGCTGCTGCTCGTGCCGCTGCTCCTAATGGCCGATCATCCTCCCCGCCTGCACCAGCGGAGTCATCATTATCAGGGTCGGTTTCGGAAGCTTCTGGGATGCTGCCATGGGGACCGCCAGCAGCAGAGGCAACTGTAGCTCGAGAGCGGAGGGAGGACCGCTGGCGTGTGGCAATGGCATCGAGAGAGAGTGAGCGGATGGGGTCCTTGAGACCCGCTAGGGCCTCCAGACTAGCGGGTGGGTAATGAGGGAGGAGGGAGAAGAATGACAGGAATGATAAGGGGACAAAAAGGAGGGGAATGAGGGTGATGGCTTTGATGGGAGAGCGAGCGAATGGGGTCCTTGAGGCCGGCTAGGGCCTCCAGACTAGGGCGTGGGGAGCGGGGCGGACAAAACGAGGGAGGGATGAATGAAGGGAAGCGGGAAAAGCAAGGGAATGGGGTTGATGGCATGGCGAGGGAGCGAGAGGATGGGGTGCTTGAGGCACTGGAATCGCATGCAGGGGAGCGGGCAAGGAATAATATCACCCACCTCCCCAGCAGGATGGCATGACTGGAACCCCAACCAGCAACATCAACACCAAGCAACAACCAGCAGCACCCACCGCAAGCCCCAGCAGGACGGCACGTAGCTCCCAGAGCACGCCACAAACAGGTCCCCGCCGCCCGCAATAGCGACCACGAGAATCAAATCCAGCAGCCCGCCACGATCCACCAGCAGATCGACCCTTGTCCCCGGCACAGCCACCCAGGTGTGCAGGCTGAGAGTCACAGTGTGGCCGGGCGCCACTGCCCCTGCTGCTGGTTCCGCCACCACCCATGCCCCACACCCCCCTGCTGGGCCGGGGGCCGAGGTGTCAGTGCTGCCTGCAGGGGCCACGGAGAAGCGCGCGGGCACGGTGCCTAGATTGTGGAGTTCAATGGTTCGCCGGATGACAGAGGCATAGGGCACCTGGTGGGGGAAAGGTTGATTGAGTTGTGAGACGTCTCAAAAGAGGCATAGGGCACCTGGTGGGGGAAAGGTTGATTGAGTTGTGAGACGTCTCAAAAGAGGCATAGGGCACCTGGTGGGGGAAAGGTTGATTGAGTTTTGAGACGTCTCAAAAGAGGCATAGGGCACCTGGTGGGGGAAAGGTTGATTGAGTTTTGAGACGTCTCAAAAGAGGCATAGGGCACCTGGTGGGGGAAAGGTTGATTGAGTTGTGAGACGTCTCAAAAGAGGCATAGGGCACCTGGTGGGGGAAAGGTTGATTGAGTTTTGAGACGTCTCAAAAGAGGCATAGGGCACCTGGTGGGGGAAAGGTTGATTGAGTTTTGAGACGTCTCAAAAGAGGCATAGGGCACCTGGTGGGGGAAAGGTTGATTGAGTTTTGAGACGTCTCAAAAGAGGCATAGGGCACCTGGTGGGGGAAAGGTTGATTGAGTTTTGAGACGTCTCAAAAGAGGCATAGGGCACCTGGTGGGGGAAAGGTTGATTGAGTTTTGAGACGTCTCAAAAGAGGCATAGGGCACCTGGTGGGGGAAAGGTTGATTGAGTTTTGAGACGTCTCAAAAGAGGCATAGGGCACCTGGTGGGGGAAAGGTTGATTGAGTTTTGAGACGTCTCAAAAGAGGCATAGGGCACCTGGTGGGGGAAAGGTTGATTGAGTTTTGAGACGTCTCAAAAGAGGCATAGGGCACCTGGTGGGGGAAAGGTTGATTGAGTTTTGAGACGTCTCAAAAGAGGCATAGGGCACCTGGTGGGGGAAAGGTTGATTGAGTTTTGAGACGTCTCAAAAGAGGCATAGGGCACCTGGTGGGGGAAAGGTTGATTGAGTTTTGAGACGTCTCAAAAGAGGCATAGGGCACCTGGTGGGGGAAAGGTTGATTGAGTTTTGAGACGTCTCAAAAGAGGCATAGGGCACCTGGTGGGGGAAAGGTTGATTGAGTTTTGAGACGTCTCAAAAGAGGCATAGGGCACCTGGTGGGGGAAAGGTTGATTGAGTTTTGAGACGTCTCAAAAGAGGCATAGGGCACCTGGTGGGGGAAAGGTTGATTGAGTTTTGAGACGTCTCAAAAGAGGCATAGGGCACCTGGTGGGGGAAAGGTTGATTGAGTTTTGAGACGTCTCAAAAGAGGCATAGGGCACCTGGTGGGGGAAAGGTTGATTGAGTTGTGAGACGTCTCAAAAGAGGCATAGGGCACCTGGTGGGGGAAAGGTTGATTGAGTTTTGAGACGTCTCAAAAGAGGCATAGGGCACCTGGTGGGGGAAAGGTTGATTGAGTTGTGAGACGTCTCAGAAGAGGCATAGGGCACCTGGTGGGGGAAAGGTTGATTGAGTTTTGAGACGTCTCAAAAGAGGCATAGGGCACCTGGTGGGGGAAAGGTTGATTGAGTTTTGAGACGTCTCAAAAGAGGCATAGGGCACCTGGTGGGGGAAAGGTTGATTGAGTTTTGAGACGTCTCAAAAGAGGCATAGGGCACCTGGTGGGGGAAAGGTTGATTGAGTTTTGAGACGTCTCAAAAGAGGCATAGGGCACCTGGTGGGGGAAAGGTTGATTGAGTTTTGAGACGTCTCAAAAGAGGCATAGGGCACCTGGTGGGGGAAAGGTTGATTGAGTTGTGAGACGTCTCAAAAGAGGCATAGGGCACCTGGTGGGGGAAAGGTTGATTGAGTTGTGAGACGTCTCAAAAGAGGCATAGGGCACCTGGTGGGGGAAAGGTTGATTGAGTTTTGAGACGTCTCAAAAGACGCATAGGGCACCTGGTGGGGGAAAGGTTGATTGAGTTTTGAGACGTCTCAAAAGAGGCATAGGGCACCTGGTGGGGGAAAGGTTGATTGAGTTTTGAGACGTCTCAAAGAGGCATAGGGCACCTGGTGGGGGAAAGGTTGATTGAGTTTTGAGACGTCTCAAAAGAGGCATAGGGCACCTGGTGGGGGAAAGGTTGATTGAGTTGTGAGACGTCTCAAAAGAGGCATAGGGCACCTGGTGGGGGAAAGGTTGATTGAGTTGTGAGACGTCTCAAAAGAGGCATAGGGCACCTGGTGGGGGAAAGGTTGATTGAGTTTTGAGACGTCTCAAAAGACGCATAGGGCACCTGGTGGGGGAAAGGTTGATTGAGTTTTGAGACGTCTCAAAAGAGGCATAGGGCACCTGGTGGGGGAAAGGTTGATTGAGTTTTGAGACGTCTCAAAGAGGCATAGGGCACCTGGTGGGGGAAAGGTTGATTGAGTTTTGAGACGTCTCAAAAGAGGCATAGGGCACCTGGTGGGGGAAAGGTTGATTGAGTTTTGAGACGTCTCAAAAGAGGCATAGGGCACCTGGTGGGGGAAAGGTTGATTGAGTTTTGAGACGTCTCAAAAGAGGCATAGGGCACCTGGTGGGGGAAAGGTTGATTGAGTTTTGAGACGTCTCAAAAGAGGCATAGGGCACCTGGTGGGGGAAAGGTTGATTGAGTTTTGAGACGTCTCAAAAGAGGCATAGGGCACCTGGTGGGGGAAAGGTTGATTGAGTTTTGAGACGTCTCAAAAGAGGCATAGGGCACCTGGTGGGGGAAAGGTTGATTGAGTTGTGAGACGTCTCAAAAGAGGCATAGGGCACCTGGTGGGGGAAAGGTTGATTGAGTTTTGAGACGTCTCAAAAGAGGCATAGGGCACCTGGTGGGGGAAAGGTTGATTGAGTTTTGAGACGTCTCAAAAGAGGCATAGGGCACCTGGTGGGGGAAAGGTTGATTGATTTTTGAGACGTCTCAAAAGAGGCATAGGGCACCTGGTGGGGGAAAGGTTGATTGAGCGGGTTAGAAGGGGAGAGGGGGAGAGTGAGAGAGGGAGAGGAGGAGGATAGGCGGTTGTGGAGACATAGAGGGAGGATGTGGGTGAGGGATGGGAGGGGGCGCAGCAAGCAGGGTGAGCATGATGCCGAGATTGTGCAGCTCAATGGTGCCAAGGTTGACGACAGGCACACCGCCGCCACCAGCACCACTGTGCATTTGCCTAGCCCAAACACCACACGTTCACACATATGTCGCTTCTGAGAATCGTCAAAAGAGACACCCCGACTCACCTCTCCGAACTCCACCGCATGTGCGCTGAGAGAGCAGTGTGGAATGGCCAGCTGCTGCCTTTCATCCAACTGCCGGCACGCCACGGCCACAGCAGCATCGAACCTCTCCCGCTCCACCGCCTCCACCTGCACTGCAAACACCGCCGCCACCGGCCGATGGTCCGACAGGGCCAGCTCCGCCCGCGAGTACGACACCAGCTGCAGCGCATCACTCACATACCCCCCCACGCTGCTGCTCATGCTGCCGCTGCTGGCGATCCCAGTGGTGGTGGTGTTGCTGCTGGGGCTGGGGCTGCTGATGCTGGTGGGGGGGAGGCTGTCGGTGGCGTCTCCTGGGTCGTACCACAGGACCCGGTCGCACCAGGCGGGGGTGCGGCGCTTCTCCCCGTCCTCCTCGTCCTCTCCCACGTACCGGTTGCTGCCCGCTGCGTACTTGTAGGTTGGAGCGAAGAAGATGGGGCCCTCTCGCCACCCCGGCAAAGCCCCGCCTTCTGACAGCTCCCACCGCAGCTGAGGGAGAGAGATAAGGAGGGGAAGGAAAATTAATTTGATGGGCCCCAAAGGCTGCGTACTTGTAGGTCGGCGCGAAGAAGATGAGACCCTCTCGCCACCCTGGGAGTGCGCCGCCTTCTGACAGCTCCCGCCGCAGCTGCAGGGGGGTGGGGAGAGAAGGAAGTGGGCGGGTGAAGTAATTGACGTGCCTCATACACAGTGTGGTTGTAGGTCGGGGCGAAACAAATGGGACCCTCTCGCCATCCTGGGAGTGCTCCTCCCTCTGACAGCTCCCGCCGCAGCTGCAGGAGAGGAAAGGGAGGGGCAAGCAATCACACAATTTAGATGCCTCATACAAAGCGCTTGTAGGCTGGCACGAAGAAGATGGGAGGGACCCTCGCACCACCCTGGCAGTGCGCCTCCTCCTGACAATTCCCACCGCAGCTGCGAGAGAGGGTTGGGGGAGCGGGGACAGGGATCCGGACTGGATTGATATCGCATTTGACGTGCCTGATATGCCTTTTGGGTCGACTCGAAGTTAGTAGCGCCACCCTGCCGGTGCCCCCTCCCCTGAGAGCTTCCACTGCAGCTGCAGGAGATGGGAAGGGAGGCGGATGGGTGGGTGAAGGATTTAAGTCCTCAAAAGGGGCGGCCCGAGAGCTTGGAACTTTGGTCTGAGATGCTGCAGGGTGGGAGAGGAGAGATGGTGGCGTGAACACAAACAAAAGCACAGCTCCACACATCACCACATCCCACAGCACCGCATCCCACAGCACCACATCTCGCAGCACCACATCCCACAGCACCACATCCCACAGCACCGCATCCTGCAGCACCACATCCCGCAGCACCACATCCCACAGCACCACATCCCGCAGCACCACACTGGCCGTGCTGCAGCATCGCCTCCCAGTCGCATTGGCCAGCTCGCGAGGGACAGCGGTACACCACTCTTTCTCGCTGCAGGACCATAACATCCATCCCACAACACCACACTGCACCACACAGCACCCATCCCAACCCACCTGGTCGTGCTGCAGCAGTGCCTCCCAGTCGCGCTTGGCCAGCAGTGCCCGTGCCTCCTGATCTGGCAGCTCCAGGCGGTAATTGAGATCTCCAAAGAAGAACACACGACTGGTGGAGTGGGGAGAGGGGAACGGGGGAGAGGGGAACGGGGGAGAGGGGAACGGGGGAGAGGGGAACGGGGGAGAGGGGAGGGGACGAGGAGCAGGACAGAGAGAATGGGGGAGTGGAGATTAATATGGAAAGTAGCTCCAGACGGCAATTGAAATTGATGAATAAAAACACCCGGCTTTGGAGGGGAGGGGGAAGGGGAAAGGAGAGGAAGTGGGGTTGGAGGGAGGTAGCTCTAGCCAGTAAGGTAGTTGAGATGAGAGTGTTGAAGGAAAAACGCTTGACTGACAGAAGGGGTGGGGGGTAAGAGCTGTTAATTAGAATTCTCAAAAATCGCTCACGGGGGTGGCACCGTGTGGGAGTGGGTGAAGGGGAGAAGCTTAAGGAAGCAAGCAGTAAATTCTCAGACATGCGCTGCAAGTTGCATAACATACCAGTGAGACCCGCATATGCACTGGTGACTGATCCTTGCCTCGATCCTGTTAGATTATACTACTCTTTTGTATCCTGCATTGATCCTATAAACCCTAGGATAGAGATAAGCACCCATACTACGTTTGGGTGCACAACTAGGGTTAACCCTCGTTGGGGGTTGGAACCCAACCTTGGTTCAATTATTGGCCCCCAAGGTTGGGTTGGGAGATTATTGGCCCCCCCAATAATGTTGGCCCACTTTTGCCAACATTATTGGGACCCCCAATAATTCGCCAACCCAACTTATTGGTGGGGGGCCAATAATGTTGGCTAGGTACCCAACCAACCCCCCCTTCCCTAGATCCAACTATGTAAACCCTCATGATTCCTAATGAAGTCATCGGTTCCCGCAGATCCCGCTCTTGGCACTGGCCAACGTGACAAACCTTGCCTCCCCACCACCCACCACACACCACTCACTCATGCTCTGTGATGGTTTCTGCCAGCCTGGCAGTCCATGGCTCTGGTAGCTCTCTGGGAGATTCTTAAGTCAAAGGTGTGCCAATGAGCCTAGCATACCTGTGCCCCTCACAACACCATCGCAAACCACCACACACCACCGTACACCACCACACACCACTCACTCGTGCTATGTGATGGTTTCTGCCAGTCTAGCAATCCAGGGGTTCGGCAGTTCGCGCGAGGGAATGCAGTGCGGCGGAGAACCTCGAGGAAGTCAAATGTCCGCTAACAAGCCTTGCACGCTTGAGTGCCTCACTACACTACCATCCACCACCGCACAGCACCACACACGACTCACTCGTGCTACGTGATGGACTCAGCCAGTCTAGCCGTCCAGGGGTCCGGCAGCTCTCTGGTGAAGGCGGCGCGGCGGAGATTCTTGAGTAAGCCAGATGTCATGCATGCCATGCATACCCGTGTGCCACACAACACACCACTCACTCGTGCTCCGTGATGGTCTCAGCCAGCCTGGCAGTCCATGGATCCGGCAGCTCCCTGGGGAAGGCGGTGCGGCGGAGAATCTCCAGAAAGTCAAACGTGCGGCGGGCAGCGTCGGCACGCTCCTCCCCCGCGTTGAGATGGGCGCAGATGAAGGTGAACTGCGTCTCATGCACTGACATGCTTATCGCTACTGAACCCTGCGTAGCGATTTGAAGGAGATGGGATGAGGGAGGTGATAAGAGGGATATGGTGTGAGAGGGCAGCATCGGCACGCTCCATCCCCCGCATTGAGATGTGCACAGATGAAGGTGAATGACGTCTCGTGCACCGGCATGCTAATTGCAACAGAGCCCTGCATTGCGTTGGTGTGTGCGAGGAAGAAGGAGCAGGAGGTGGTATAAGGGAGGTGGGGTGTGAATGTTGCGTCGGCACGATCCTCCATCCCCCGTGTTGAGATGCGCACAGATGAAGGTGAATGAGGTCTCATGCACCGACATGCTCACTGCCACTGAGCCCTGCATTGCGGTGTGAAGGGGTTGGGATGATGAGGGAGGTGGTATGAGGGAGGTACCACAAGGGAGGTGGCACGAGACGAGAGAGGTGGCACGAAAGAGGTGGCACGAGGAAGGTACCACGAGGGAGGTACCATGGGGGCGCATTTAGATGCGCACAGATGAAAGCAAGTGACGTCTCATGCACCACCACACTCAACCGCCACCCACCAAGTTCCACAACAGAACAGAGGAGGTGAGGAGACATGGTTGCAATCATGAGCGCAGCCTAGCAAATGCTCATGCGCATTAGCAGAAGCATCATTAGCAACAGCAATGGGGTGTTTGTTGGATTTGAAGACATCTGCAGCCGAGCTTTGTAATCAGTGCAGGCCCTCGAACCTTGGGACGGGAGGTGAGGCAGCCGCTGCACCAACAGCAGGGGCAACAACAGTGGGAGCGGCGGTAGGAGAAGCAGCAATAGCAATAGCTTGCATCAGCCAGCGCATGGAGGAAGAGGGGGGAGCAGGAGGGGTAGTGGAGGGCAGGGAAGAGGGAGGAGAGGAGAGAGTGGAAGGCAGGGAAGTGGGAGGAGAAAAAGGAGTATAGGGCTGGGAAGTGTGAGGCTATGAGGGAGAGAATGAGGGAGGGGAAGAGGTTTGGGAGGAAGGAGGGGAAAGGGAAGGAGAAATGAGAGGGGAAGGGGAAACGGGAAGGGGAGTTGAAGCGAGAAGAGAAAGGAGAGGGAAACGGGGAAGAGATGCCACCATAGACACCAGAAATTATATTTCCGTGAACCCGCAAACCTTCCGCCCGCTGACTCTTCTTGTGACAGCAGTTTCCCCCTTCTTCAATGTCGAGAACCAAGCCGTCTACCCCTCATATGTGATTCTTTCCATTCTTTTTTTTTAGGGAAGACTAAAAAGGGAAGAGAAAGAATCCCTACTCCTACGTGATCCTTTCTCTACCCCCTTCTCTTCAAAGTCTTCCCTTCTAAGTAGGGATAGAACGAATCACATCCGAGGGGTGGACGGCGTGGTTTTCGACATTGAGGAGAGGTAAACCGTTGTTGCAAGAAGAGTCAGCGGGTGGAAGGTTCAAGGGTTCACGAAAAAAAAAAATATTTTCTAATCTCTATAGTAACATCTCTTCTCCGTTTCCTTCCCCTTTCTCTTCTCGCTTCAACTCCCCTTCTTGTTTTTCCTTTCCCCTTTCATTTCTCCCTCCTTTTCTCCTCCCTTCCTCTCAAACATCTTCCCCTCCCTCGTCCTCTCCCTCTAACCTCCCGCTTCTCAGCCCCACACTTCCTCTTCTCCTCCCGCTTCCCTGCCTTCCACTCTCTTTTCTCCTCCTTCTTCCCTACCCTCCATTACCCCTCCTGCTCCCCTCTCTTCCTCCATGCGCTCGCTGATGCCGGCTACTGTTGTTGCTACTTCATTTGCTGCTGCTCCCACTGTTGCCGCCCCTGCTGCTCCTATTGTAGCGACTGCCTCACCTTCCGTCCCAAGGTTCGAAGACCTGCACTGATTACGAGCTCGGCTGCAGACATCTTCAAATCCAACAAATACCCCATTATTATTGCTAATGATGAGCGCAGCCTGGCAAATAACCTAAACTCCTGACATCTGCATCCACCAATGGCCAAAGACAATGTGTTGGCGTGATACAAGACAACTATTTAACTCTTTCAACCACACTGCACCGCACTCAATCGCTCACCTTGTTGCCAAGAATGCCCATGACCCCACAGCCCACAGTGCTAGCCTTCACACTATGAATGTGCCTCCCAGCCCCTTGCGCGCCTTGAGGTCGTTTTTGAGGAGCCTCAAAAACGACCTCATCTAGCCTTCACGCTATGAATGTGCCTCCCAGCCCCTTGCGCGCCCACACCATCAGATACACCAACACCCCTGCCACCCCTCCCCTCCTTCCACCGCACTGCACTGCACTCAACCACACTCCTTCCACCGCACTGCACTGCACTCAACCACACTCAACTGCTCACCTTGTTCCCCAGAATGCCCATGAGTCCACAGCTCACAGTGCTGGCCTTCACGTCACGCCATGAATGTGCCTCCCAGCCCCTTGCGCGCCCACATCATCAGATTCACTAACACCATCTGCCTCCCTGCCACCCCTCCCCTCCTTCCACCGCACTGCACTGCACTCAACTGCACACAACTGCTCACCTTGTTGCCCAGGATGCCCATGAGTCCACAGCCCACAGTGCTAGCCTTGACGCTATGGATGTGCCTCCTCAGCCCCTTGCACGCCCACACCATCAGATACACCCCCACCATCTGCCGCCCAGCCACCTTCACATACGCCTCCTCCACCTCCCCTCCCTCCCACTCCTCCTCCATCTCATCTCCCCTGCCCCCCTCCTCCCCTCCCTTTGCTGCCTCCTCCCCTCCACCTTCCCCTTCCCCAACCTTCCCTACCGCCCCTCCCTCACTCGCCCGCACATCCCCCCTCTCCTCCCCGCCATCGCCACCCCCCTCACCACCATATCCACCTCCATCTGCAGAAATGGGCTCAGCAGGAGTGAGAGGCACGCTGATCAGATCCTCGGGCAGTATCTTTTCCGCCTTTTCTGCATGTGCCTCCTGCTGCAGCGCAACCCCCTCCCACTCAGGTGTGGCAGAAGCAGCAGTGCCAGCATCAGCGGGATCCAGGGAGCTCCCAAGAGACCCAGCAGCTGCAGCAGCACCTGATGCAGGAGAATCTGCTGCAGCAGCAGCAGCACTGTCATCAAGTGACCCTTTGGAGGCGTCAGAAGCAGAGGAGGAGGGGAGGCGGAAGCTGCTGGAGTGGAAGGAGAGGTCGCTGCTGCTGGTCAGAGACGGGGGAGGGGTGGCCCTCCCAGCCACACCGCTGCTACTGCTTGCACTGTTTGTCTCACCATCACCAGCCCTGCTACCTCCGTCCGTCACTGCCTGCTCTGCCCCATCGATCTTTCCCGCTGTGGGCTCATCACCCCTGATCGAGCCTGTGGAAGCAGCCTTGACAGCGGCTTTTCTGGCGGCCTTGGCAGCTGCTGCGTTAAGTTGCCGACGCACTAGAGCCTCCCACTGCCCCACCGCCTCCTCTGAGTCCATTCCCAGCACACTGCCTGTGCTCAGCGGGACAATTTCCTGGAAGCTGCCAAGGGGAAGGGAAGGGCGCATGGGTGCATGCTAAGGGAAAGAGCGATAACGCAAATCCCAGCACACAGGGAAGCTGAGAAGAGGACGATGCTTCTGGTTGCTTCTCGTGTCGCATCGTCCTCTTCTCAGCTATGGGTGATGCTATGGTAGCAAGGGTGATGCTATGGTAGCAAGGGTGATGCTATGGTAGCAAGGGTGATGCTATGGCAGCAAGGGTGATGCTATGGCAGCAAGCACCCGCCCACTTGATGGCGATGATATCGGCTGGGTGCTGTAGGGAGGGGAGGGAGAGAGAGACAATTGTGAGGGGACCCAGGTGGGGAGGAGAGCGCATGCAAACCAGGCCACGGACGGACATGGCATAGCAGCACGGCTGTGTGAGGCTGTGAGGGCAGGAAAGAGCGGTTAGCGCCCATCCAGTGGCGATTATGTTGGCTGGGGGGCTGCAGGGAGAGGCGGTCCATGAGGTCCAGATGGGCAGGAGAGGCGAGGCGTGGAGCATCACAGGTCACAGACATGGCATAGCATGACATGATATTTTGAGGACAGCAAAGAGAAACAACCCACCTGATGATGGCGATGATATCGGCAGGTTGCTGCAGGGAGAGCCGAGCAGGTCCGTAAGGTCCAGGTGGGCAGCGAGGCATGGCGCAACACAGGCCGCGCACAAGGCATAGCACATTAGCAGCAAGGGTGATGTGATGGTAACCAGCACCCACCCAATGGCGATGATGTCGGCAGGTTGCTGCAGGGAGAGCCAGTCCGTAAGGTTGAGGTGAGAAGGCGGGTCGGATATGCCCGCCACGTTCCATGTGGCCGTCACCACCCTGGTGTACGGGCATGGCATGTGATGGGAATGGGAATGGCTTGGGAAGGTGATGGAAGCAAGCAACGAACATGGTTCCCTGACTATGATCTTCCCTCTTTGATGAATGGCATACCCTCCACCCCACGTTCCATGTGGCTGTCTTCACCCTCAAGGATGAGCATGGGCAATGGCATTGGCAAGGGCAACGGCAGCAGATGGAAGGAACGGGCAATGGCATGGGTAGCAGCAGGCGCAGGAGCAGCAGATGGAAGCAGGTGTTGTTGTATTTGCTCCATTCTCCTGCCTGATAGGTGAGTTATTGGACCTCAAGGAGGGTCGGATATGCCTGCCACATTCCATGTGGATGTCACCATCCTGGCGAATGGGCATGGTCATGGCATGGGCATGGGCGTGGGCATGGGCGTGGGCATGGGCGTGGGCATGGGCGTGGGCGTGGGCGTGGGCATGGGCGTGGGCATGGGCATGGAAAGCGGGCGCATGAGTAGCACATGAAGGAAAGGAAGAGAAATTTGGAGCTCACAGCTCAACTCAACGAGCTCACTGTAGCAGCCAGCCACCCAAGAAGCGCAGATCTCTGGTGTGGTGTGCAGTCAATGGTGCCTGAGGGGGCGTAGGATAGCGTACGAGACCCACCTGAGCTCTCTGGAGCCCAAAAAGTGGTGCCTAAGGGCGCGCAGCTCGTCCCTGAAGTTGTTGATTCGCAGCAACGCTCTCAACCGCTCCGAACCTGCCATCATGCACGGATGTAGAAAATTGAATTGTACAACATTCAAATTATGTACGGCATTCCTTCCATTGTGTACCAATGCACTAAGTTAAGGCACTGCAATTTAATGCATTGCATGTGTGCATGCTACAACGCGTTTGGCAAGAAACGACATTCCAGGTTTCGCATTGTACAGCTGGTTACTAACAGAAGAGAAGGGAAGGGAACAGGGGAAAAGGCGTGTTGTGTGAAGGAGAATTTTGTGAATGAGCATCACATGGATTGTGGTGTGTGCTCGTGTGCGCATGTGCGCTCGTGTGCGCGTGCGTGTGTGCGTGCATGCATGCGTGCGTGCGTGCGTGTGTGCGTGCGTGCGCACGCTCTTGTGAGTGCGTGAGTGAGTGTGAGGGTGTGAGAGAGTGAGGGTGTGAGTGAGTACCGAGAGGCAGAGGCTCCTTCCAGACGTCACAGCTGAGCAGCTCCGAGGCCTCCTCTCCATCTGGTAGCCCTGTTACATTTTGCATGGAAAATAATAGACAGAATATTGTTAATCAGCACAAAGGCACGTGTCTTCTGGCAATACAGAGGTAATTTTCACATGACGACACGGCAGCGCATGTCATGAAAACAGACAGAGGCTCAGCGTTGGGAGGAAGCAAATGCAGCGCAAAGTCTATACAGATATTTCAACTCAGTTTCCTACCAGCGAAATAAGGGACAGAATTGAAGTTCTTGCGTAGGTGGAAGGAGTTGAATGCGGCGCCGGACGGTGGAATTCGTTTTCTAAATGGCGCAATGCCAACTTGCCTACTGTTAGCTAAGCAGGTGAATCTGTTATCTAAACGACGAATGCCAATGCGTATGACAATGTAACACGGCTCGGGAGCACCTGATAGGCTCCGCGCCTCCGGAGACCGCGAGTAATCGCATTTCGACGGGCCACGCATTTACCCCAATCGTCGCATTTCATGCGACCGTCGTTAACACGATTGTCGCATTGACGGCAATCGTCGCAATCGGAGCTCGAACTCGCATACCTGATAAGTCAACCTCTGGCGAATACTCGTCCGCGTAAAACTCTGGCTGGACTTGCCCTAGACCCAACCAGCCGAGCATGACGACGTTCGTAAGGCTATAAACGAAGAGAACGCACACGAGAATAATACAGCGTGCAGGGCGAAATAGCATTCACTATTGAGCGCAAGCACACAGCTATCTCCGCGGAGCGAATGGACTAACGAGTCACGAGCTTCTGACGGGGCTCCACGCCAGCATCAATGGCTGGCGCATATCGGCTGAAGCGTCCCATGATGTGCGACTCTGGGGGTACTTCTCTCAAGGTGGGAGAATGTGATGGTTAGCGCGGTTCAGTACGATTCCAAGCGTTAAACAACGGTTTTTTCTCGTCATGGACCGCAAAGCACCAAACAGAACCATGGTACAATGAAAGCGAACGGCGCTGGACCTGGTGAGCACCAGTTGGGCTAAGTGCGTGAATGTGCGCAACTTGACCGGCCTTAAAGCTACACTTTTACTTGAGAGCCGAACTTTGGGTGTGGAATTTGTGTTTCGCTTCCAATTTCAACCGCGTTCATCACGCACGGCTCGCTACCAAGTTCGACCGAAACCGGTCCACACCAAAAACCGGGCAACTTTGTTGGACTCCACTAAGGGCGGGTCCAACTCATCACACTTCAGCTCAATTTAGCCCTTTTTTTAGGGTAACCGCGTCAAATTTTGAGATCAGACTGGAGACGCGATCAGTTTCCCAACTTGCAAAACGAGTCCCGCTCCAGATCACATTTCTCAATTGAAAATTTTTACGAAAATAATTGCAAACTGGGCAGCTTTGACGTTCCGTCACCAGCTGCCTCACTTGCCGGTAACAGGGTGCACCTGCTTCGAGCGAGTGATGTGCTCTTCGTCCATTATAACGATTGGTTATCAATGCCCAAGTTACCTTAGCGACAATTTCGCGTTTCGCGAAGCCAATGTGTTCTGCTAAATTGAGTTTGTGTGGGCGGGATGCCGGGTCCATGTAGACCCTCCAGGACGCGGAACGCAGTTGGGTTCGGATTGACTGATCGACATCCAAAAAGTTGGGATTTCGTTTCAGATGTGTGAAACCGCCAAAATGAAATGAGTATGACCCGCCCTAAATGCTAGGAAGGAACTCCCTCAGCCAGACAGAACCAAAGCATTTGAAGACCGAAGAATCAATGGGGGTGGGCAGGGAACAGCACGGCAATACCAAGGGTGCCTTGGAACCTTTAGGCGGGATTTGAACGAGTGGTGATAGCGGGAGCCAGAGATAACCACATAGGAGCTGCTCTTACGCTGCGATCCTTGTTCTAGCTGGCTTTCCGCCCGTGGCGTATGAAGTCCTGTTTTATTCGTCCTGCTCCCGTATCGGCGACTCTTTCGTCTCTGGTTCACTTTTGCGCTGACTCCAACGAATTTCCACTTCGCCAGTTTCCGTAGATCGTTCTCGCACTGCTCTTACTCACGACGTTACATATTCTCGACGTATTCTGCTCATCCGCGTTAGAGCGGCGTTCTTCGCGCTCCAGAGATGGGAGCATTATTCTCGAAGCGCAAAGCCGTTACAGATGTCGATAAGGCGATACTGTCGTTGCGAACGCAGAAGCGGAAACTAGCGGAGTATCAGAAGAAGGTACGATTGATCCGCTTGCTGTTATCCATTATTTGCAATATTTTTTTGTATTTGGATAATCAGAGAAATCATTTTTATACCAGGAAAAGAAATGGTGTAGCCGGTTGATATTATCCTTTTATAATTGAAACTTTAGAAAAGCCAGGTAGTACGAGGAAAGGCCGGGTAAGTGCTCACGTATAGCCCGTGTCCTTTCTTTACGAATATGTTAACCACTGTAACGGTTTCCGGTACGTCGCTTTGTTTAAATCGCAACTCCACTCCAGACGGACGCAAAATTTTCTATCCCCGTTTGAAGGTCGGTGCAGTTATCGAGCGGGAGCAGGAGGTGGTGCGGCAGATGATCAAGGAGGGCAAGAAGGACCGCGCGCTGCTGGCGCTCAAGAAGAAGAAGCTTCAGACGGACGCGCTCGCCAAGTCGGACGCGTGGGTGCTGCGGGTGGAACAGCAGGTGAGGGTTGAGCTGACCCTGGGGTGAGTAGAAGAGGGGGGGATGGGACGTGCATCACCATCGCTCAAGAAGAAGAAGCTTCAGACGGACGCGCTCGCGAAATCAGACGCGTGGGTGCTGCGCGTCGAGCAGCAGGTGAGCGTTTCTTGAACGAGGGGTTTCTTGAGCCCTAAATGCGATGTTTGGCGCTCAAGGGGAAGAAGCTTCAGACGTGTCCATCGTGCCTAGAAGTGATTGTCATGTCCTTTCCTCTTGTGCCCCTCTCTTCCCCCGCTGCAGGGTGTTTTAGAAATTTCTCAAAAACATCGTGCCTAATGGTGATTATCGTGTCCTTTCCTCTTGTGCCCCTTTCTTCCCTCGTTGCTGGCGGACATCGAGATCACGAGCCCGCAGGCGCAAGTGTTCCAGATCCTCAAGGCGATTCTCGTGCCCCTGCCTCGTGCCCCTGCCTCGTGCCCCTGCCTCGTGCCCCTGCCTCGTGCCCCCTGCCTCGTGCCCCTGCCTCTTGTCCCCATTCCTCCACCGCAGCTCGCAGACATAGAGGTCACGAGCTGGCAGACACAGTTGTTTGAGAGCCTGAAGGCGGGGCACATGGCGATTCAGGAGCTGCAGAAGGAGATGATTTCGACTCATTCGCTCCCCTCTCCCCCTTCCCTTCCCCTTTGTCCCTCGCTCTCCCTCTCTCTCTTTACAGCTCACAGACATTGAGATCACGAGCCGGCAGGCGCAGGTGTTTGAGAGCCTGAAGGCGGGGCACATGGCGATTCAGGAGCTGCAGAAGGAGATGATTTCGACTCATTCGCTCCTCTCTCCCCCTTCCCTTCCCCTTTGTCCCTCGCTCTCCCTCTCTCTCTTTCACAGCTCGCAGACATTGAGATCACTAGCCGGCAGGCACAGGTGTTTGAGAGCCTGAAGGCGGGGCACATGGCGATTCAGGAGCTGCAGAAGGAGATGATTTCGACTCATTCGCTCCTCTCTCCCCCTTCCCTTCCCCTTTGTCCCTCGCTCTCCCTCTCTCTCTTTCACAGCTCGCAGACATTGAGATCACTAGCCGGCAGGCACAGGTGTTTGAGAGCCTGAAGGCGGGGCACATGGCGATTCAGGAGCTGCAGAAGGAGATCAGCCTGGAGGACGTGGAGAAGCTGTTGGGGGAGTCGGAAGATGCAAAGGCCTTCCAAGACGTGAGTGCATTGCAGAACAAACAAAGCAGAGCAGAGCATGTGGAGTAAGTTACTGAGGCACGTTGAGCGTTTTTGAGACGCCTCAAACCGCAGAGGCACGTTGGATGCGTCACGTTTGAGGCGTCACGTTTGTTGCTTTCCCCAAGTCCGCGCTCAACAGGATGGAGAGACGGCAGAGTCGGCACGGGATGCATGCAGGCAGGCGGGGATGGCGGCGGCAAGCACAATGCCATATGTGGTCTCGCTGCCGCTGCCAGGCGAAGCCATGTGCATGCATTGGGCGTTGGGCGTGTGGTTTCATCCTGAGCGCACCCACATGGCGATGCACGCACATGGCTTCGCCTGGCAGCGGCAACGAGACCATATATGGCCTTGTGCTTGCCTCCGCCATCCCCGCCTGTGTGCATGCATCCCGTGCCGCCTCTGCCATCGCTCCATCCTGCTGATCCTGCACTGGCGTCGCATCCTTGGAAAAAGTAGCGGTCGCATCAGGCACGTTGGTCGAGGGAATGGAAATAGGTGCAAAAGGTGTGCGCTGGGCTGAACCGGCGCCTCATAATGCTGGCGTTGTTGCCGTCAGCTAAGCGCGGACGGAGGAAGAGAAGAGCAGAGCAGGTGGAGTAGGTTACTGAGGCGCGTTGACCAATTTTTGAGGCATCTGTCGTTGCACGGGGCAACACTACACAGGAGCTGAGCTTCAAAAGAAGATTAGTCTGGAGGACGTGGAATGGAGTGGTGAAATGACAGGCTGAGAAGAATATGGGGATTGGGTGAATGAATGGTCGTAGTAGGTCGGCATGTCGTAGGGACGAATGGATGTGCATGGCATGGCGCATGCATGGTTGGATGTGAATGGCACATGCATGGTTGGATGTGCATGCAAGGTGCAAAATTTCGCCGAGTTATTCAAAATTTGGGCAAAAAAATCGCCATCGAAAATTTCCCCCGAAAATTTCGATAATTTCGGTCAGGAAAAAAAATATTAATCTGGTTCAGATTTTCGTCCGAATTTTTACATAAAATAGTAAAAAATAATCGAGTATAAATGGGAGAAAACGATGGATGCAAATCTTACTGGCATTTTGCTGCCAAATTTAGGCAGATCTGCCATTTGAAGCCCGCGGCCCAAATTGCGGACCGCGCGAGTCAAGTTTTAAAAACTTGACGAAGTGGCCTGTGCAAGCTTTGAAAGGTAGTGCAGGTGCAATTTGGGACTTTCGAAGTCTGACACACCCACCAGGGAGAAATAGAGGGGCTCGCTGGGTTTGACGAAAAAAAAAAAAAACGAATTTGACGAAATCAGAAACACTCGCCAAAACCCAAACTGTAAAACTCCCCCTCGTCATCTTTTTAAAACTTGTGCAATTTGGGCCGCCGGCTTTAAGCACCAGATCTCTGCATATATCTGGCATTTCACTGCCAGATCTGGGCGGATCTGGCATTTCGCCACTAGATCTAGGCGGATCTGACATTTCGCCGCCAGATCTAGGTGGATCTGCCATTTAGGCACCAGATCTCTGCATATATCTGGCATTTTGCCGCCAGAAAAATTGGGACATTTTTTTGAAGGTCTAACAAATTTTTGCCGAATTTTTCAGAATCTGCCCGAAAATTTCCACCGAAAATTTCGAAGCAAAAAATTCCCTGACCGCAATTTTCCACCCTGTGTGCATGGTACATTCATGGTCAGATGTGCATGCCACATGCATGGTTGGATGTGCATGGTACATCCATGGTCAGATGTGCATGGCACATGCATTGTTGGATCGGATGAGCGAGAAGGAAAGATGGTTCTACCTGTTTCACTCGTTTTCCCCCACTTTCTCTTCTTTTTCCTCTTCCTGTTCCCGTTTTATCTTCCTCATCCATTTGCTCTTTCTCTTCCTCCTCCCTTTCCTCCTCCTCCTCCCCTTCTTCTCCCTCTCCCTTTTTTCCATGCTCTCCCCCACCCCACCTACCGCACTCTACTTCTCCCACTCCCGAATCTGTAATTTTTGGATTCTCAAAAGTACAGATTCCCAGCACCGCACTCGACTTCTCCCACACCCCCCTCCACTTCGTCCTGCTGTCCTCCCTCCGTGTCTCGACCAATCAGGAGGTGGCTGCCATGCTGGCGGGTGCGCTGTCAGAGGAGGCTGAGCTGGAGGCTCTTGCTGAGCTGGAAGCACTAGAGACAGAGGTGAGGGGGAGACAGAGGTGAGGGGGAGACAGAGGTGAGGGAGGGGGAGGGGGGTTGAGGGGGGAGAGGGGTGCAATGCGCAGTCAGCTCTTGCTGAGGTGGGCTGGAGGCACTGGAGTGGAGAGAGAGGTGAGGGTGGGAGGGATGAGGGAGAGAGAGGTCAGAGGGGGGGGAAAGGGAGGTAGTGGAGATAGAGAAAGGTGCAATGCACAGGCAGCTCGTGCTGAGGTGGACTGGGGGCACTGGAGACAGAGGTGACAGTGAGAGAGTGGGGGGGAGAGAAAGGAGAAGGGGTGAGGAGAGGGGGAGAGAGAGTAGAGGGGGAGAGGGGTGAGGAGGAGAGGCGCAAGAGGGAGACAGCGTTTTAGGGGGGGAGAGGGGTGAATTGGGGCCTTAGTTAAGCTTTAGGTATGGTGGATTAGGCTTTTAGTATGGTTGATTAGGCTTATGGTATGGTTGATTAGGCTTATTGTATGGTTGATTAGGCTTATGGTATGGTTGATTAGGCCTAAGGCATGGTTGATTAGGCCTATGGTATGGTTGATCAGGCTGACGGGATTGAGAAACTCAAGGCTTATTCAGTCTTGTGCTCTCTCTTCCTTCTCTCCCGTCTCTCACCCAGCTTGCCTGGAGAAAGGAGGTACGAGAGGACCTTCCTTCTGTGCCTCAAGTGCCAGTGCCAGTGCACTCAAGTGCCAGTGCTGCCTGATGTGCCAGTGCTGCCTGATGTGCCAGTGCTGCCTGATGTGTCACTGTCCTCATCCGGTTCTTGTTCCTACCCCGTTCCTCATGCTCTTCCTTTTCCTACCCCGTTCCTCATGCTCTTCCTTTTCCTACCCCGTTCCTCATGCTCTTCCTTTTCCTACCCCGTTCCTCATGCTCTTCCTTTTCCTACCCCGTTCCTCATGCTCTTCCTTTTCCTACCCCGTTCCTCATGCTCTTCCTTTTCCTACCCCGTTCCTCATGCTCTTCCTTTTCCTACCCCGTTCCTCATGCTCTTCCTTTTCCTACCCCGTTCCTCATGCTCTTCCTTTTCCTACCCCGCTCCTCATGCTCTTCCTTTTCCTACCCCGTTCCTCATGCTCTTCCTTTTCCTACCCCGTTCCTCATGCTCTTCCTTTTCCTACCCCGTTCCTCATGCTCTTCCTTTTCCTACCCCGTTCCTCATGCTCTTCCTTTTCCTACCCCGTTCCTCATGCTCTTCCTTTTCCTACCCCGTTCCTCATGCTCTTCCTTTTCCTACCCCGTTCCTCATGCTCTTCCTTTTCCTACCCCGTTCCTCATGCTCTTCCTTTTCCTACCCCGCTCCTCATGCTCTTCCTTTTCCTACCCCGTTCCTCATGCTCTTCCTTTTCCTACCCCGTTCCTCATGCTCTTCCTTTTCCTACCCCGCTCCTCATGCTCTTCCTTTTCCTACCCCGCTCCTCATGCTCTTCCTTTTCCTACCCCGTTCCTCATGCTCTTCCTTTTCCTACCCCGTTCCTCATGCTCTTCCTTTTCCTACCCCGCTCCTCATGCTCCTCCTTTTCCTACCCCGTTCCTCATGCTCTTCCTTTTCCTACCCCGTTCCTCATGCTCTTCCTTTTCCTACCCCGCTCCTCATGCTCTTCCTTTTCCTACCCCGTTCCTCATGCTCTTCCTTTTCCTACCCCGTTCCTCATGCTCTTCCTTTTCCTACCCCGTTCCTCATGCTCTTCCTTTTCCTACCCCGTTCCTCATGCTCTTCCTTTTCGTACCCTGTTCCTCATGCTCTTCCTTTTCCTACCCCGCTCCTCATGCTCTTCCTTTTCCTACCCCGTTCCTCATGCTCTTCCTTTTCCTACCCCGTTTTCTCCCACTCGGATGTGCCTGCCTGCGGGACGAAATGCCTGCTGTGCCTGAAGTGCCTGTGCTGCCTGAGGAGTGTCAGTGTCCTGGTTCAATCCTTGTTCCTCCTGCTCGTCCTACCTGTTTCTCCCATCCAGCTCGCCATGAAGGAGGTGCAGGAGGAAATGCCTGCTATGCCTCAAGTGCCCGCTCCGCCCGATGCGTGTTCAAGCTCTGATGTGTTCCCTTTGCCCCTCCTCTTGCTATTCCTACCTCCCGGTTCTTCCATCCAGCTCGCAATGAAGGAGGTGCAGGAGGAAATGCCTGCTGTACCACCTGAAGTGCCCTTGCTGCCCGCTGTGTGTTCAAGTTGGTGTGTTTCTTATTGCCCTCCTCTTGCTTTTCTTACGTCCAACTGTCCCATCCAGCTCGCTATGAAGGAGGTAGAGGAGGAAATCCCTGCTGTGCCCCAAGTGCCTGTGCTGCCAGACGTGCCAAAGGAGCCGCCGGTTAAAACACCAGCTAAAGGGGAAGCGGAGGAGGAGTGTGCTGCTGAATCTGCTGAGGCTGAGGATGGAACGAGCAGAGAACGATGTGAGTGCTCTTGCTAGCATGCGAATGTGTGCATCCCTGGAGGGCCGGTCTTTTGAGTCGACTCAAAAGTCTGCTCCTGCTACCATGCGAATGTGTGCATCCCTGGAGGGCCGGTCAGGGAATGTAGTAGGAAGGAGGGGGGTGGTGGGAGGGGCTTGAATTGCCTGAAGTGCCCGTGCTGCCAGTTGTGTCGAAGGAGCCGCCGGTTAAAACACCGGCTGAAGGGGAAGTGGAGGGAGAGGGAGAGGGTGAGGATGCCACAGCTGCTGCTGCTGTTGCTGTTGCTGATGACGGAGCAAGCAGAGAACGAGGTGAGAGCCAGATTCCTTGTGCTGCCCTATTGCCAAAGATGCCGCTGGTTAAAACACTGGCTGCAGGGGAAGCGGAGGGAGAGGGAGATCGGGAGGATGCCACAGCTGCTGCTGCTGAGGACGGAGCAAGCAGAGAACGAGGTGAGTGCTAGATTCCTTGTGCTGCCCTATATGCCAAGGAGCCGCCGGTTGAAGCACCGGCTGCAGGGAAAGCGGAGGAGGGGGAGGGGGAGGGGGAGGGTGGAACTTGTGCTGCTGCGTCTGCTGGGGCTGAGGATGGAACGAGCAGAGAACGAGGTGAGTGCCCCTGCTAGCATGCTTGGGTGCGTGCATGTGTGCTTGTTTGGAGGGCAGTCCAAGCGGTGGTTGAGGTGGAGACAGAAGAGGAAGAAAAAGGAAGAGGGGGGTGGGTTGGGTGGGTGTGAGGAGGGGGTTGAGTAGGGTAGGGGAAGGGAGGGAGGATGAACAGGCAAGGTACGAAAAGGCCGGTTCGAGATTTTTTTCTTTTTCTTTTTTCAGTTTGTTTTTCTTCGGACAGGCTTGTGATGAAAGAACTCTTACTTCTCAGTTATGCTGGGCAGCCTCTGTATAGAGGCAGTGACCACGATCTGGCTATGCTAAGCTGAAGCCTGCTGGGAGAGTGGGACTTCTAATGAACTTTGAATGCATTTTGCATAGAACCTCAGTTGTGGGTTCCTCTGCTCGAGCAGGCTTGTGATGAAACCCTTTTTACTTCTCAAACAATCTGGGGTAGCCTCTGTATAGAGGCAGTGACCACGATCTGGCTATGCTAAGCTGAAGCCTGCTGGGAGGGTGGAACTTTAGACGGACTTTGAATGCACTTTGCATATGAACCTCAGTTGTGGGCTTTCCGGTTCGAGCAAGCTTGTGACAAAAACCTTTTTTACTTCTCAATAAATTTGGGGAAGCCTCTGTGTTAATGCAGTGACCACGATCTGCTTGGAGGATGGGACTGATCATGTGGGTTAGTGAGGAGGATGGGTTGGTTGAAAGCGGCGCATTATAGGCACACATGCCAGCGTTTGTTGGGATATGCAGGCTCGGAACAGGTGTTTGCACACATGTATCGCTGGTTGTGCTTGTATTGAATGTATGCGCTTATATGCACATGCGACTGAAAGTGTGAGAGTGCATATGCAAATGGATACGCGCACATGGATGTGTGCATATGCTTCATAATGGATAGGGGCTTGTCTACTCTGCATGTAAACGGATGGGTGCATGTATGCATGTGAACAATTGGGTGCCAATTATGTGAGGGTGTGTGTGGATGTGATGTCAAGCCTCCGTTCTTCGCCCCCCCTCTATCGTTGTCAATCTTACCTTTCTCTTGCAGTTCGTGAAGAACCTCTTCCTGCATAACATGTCTGCTACAGTGACCAAATGCAGAAGTGAAGAAAGGTACCGTACACCTGCGTGTATATGATACTAGTGTGTATGTTGAACCAAAGTCTTGAGTAGGTGTTACTGTATGCCAGTGTTTCCTACCGAGAGTAAGGATTCTTTGCCGGTTCACTTCAAGCCTTGGTAAGGCCCAGATGTGGAATAACACTCACATGTGCACTCAATGCAGTACATGACAAAGTGTTCACACAGTACTGTCTGTTAGCAAAGAGAACCCTGTCCTGTCCAGTGCACCGAATGATAGAGATCACTCGAAGTTATGATGTAGAGGCGAGACACGATGAGGCCATCAGTTTTGCATGACATTGCCTCCCTGCATCACCTTGCGGTCCAGCAAACATCTTTTAAAGCCTTCTCTCGTCAACCTTCGCCCAACCCTTAGCGAGTTCAGTATTTATGAACCCTTGCCATTCTAGGCACGGGCTTTAACATCACAGCCCAACTGGTTTCAGGAAATAGTTTGTTGCAACTGGAATAGATGCATGCATGATGAGACATATGGTTATGGAAGGAAGGGATCAGGAAAGTTACAGCTGCACAAGAAATGGAAGAGGCAGAGGTGAGCACAAATCCAAAACGAAGCCTCAAGCTAGCCACAGCCTTCCAGCATCATCAAAGGCTTACGTATTCTCCTACCCGCATGTGCAAGATTAGCATGTAACTGATCTGTCACTCCCTATCGCATGTAGCTCATTCCCTGCTGTTGCTGCTGCTGCTGCTGCTGCATGTACTGCTGAAGCCATTCCCGCTGGTTCCTGTGCAGCAGCATCACCTGGCTTGGTACCCATTCCAGCTGTTGCTGGTAACTTGCAACAAGCATAGCTGCCGTAGCTGGTGGCATGGTAACAGGAGCATGTGGCATGGTAACAGGAGCATGTGGCATGGGTACAGCTGCAGTGGCTTGTGAGGCAGCTGTATGTAGGAGATGCCTGCTAGATGCCATAGCTGTTGTTGATGACCAATTCTGCTGCTGCGGCTGATAAAGGTGCTGCTGCTGCTGTTGGTACTGTGGGTGCTGCTGTGGTTGCTGGTACAGCTGGTAATACTGTTGCTGAGACTTCTGCTGATAGTGCAAGAACTGCTGTAGTTGCTGCCAGCTATGATATTGTTGCTGTAGATGTTCCTGCTGACCTCCACGCTGATGTTCCTGCTGAGGCAAGTACTGCTGCTGATGCAGCTGCCAACGATCTTGCTCCCGAACAACAGGGGCCCTACTCTCATCCCACATGCTCTTTCCCTGCTTATACATCCTCTTCATCTCAACATTCCTGATAACTCGTGGACTTGCAGCCCCGAACTTTCCCTTCGCAGCGTCACCATGTCGAGTCTGATGCTGCCTGCTGTAATTCTGCTGGGAAATCGTCGGCTGATGGTGGTGGCGGTGTTGCTGCTGGTGGTGGTGATCAGAGGACGTGCATGCCACATGCTTGGAGCACCGATACTCTTTGTCCCCAGCTGACTCTCGACCACTCACAGCACCCTGCACTTGTCCACCATTTTTTGCAGCCTCTCCAGATTCCTTCGAGTTACCATGCTCCAGGCATTTTCTGTCCATTTCCTTGCTTCTTGACTGGCACCTGATTGTGCTTGCATTGACTGACAAATCACTCAACGGAAGCTGTGCCTCCCTGACTGCCTCGCTTTCCTTCCCCTGATCAGACTTTCCGCAATTCACATGAGTGTTGCTCTTTCCGCTTGTCCTTGTCAGACCAGACTCAGCTGCTGCACGCATCTCCCTCAGCTCTCCATCAGCACGCACCACCAGCCTCTGCATTGCCGCTGCTGCTGCTTCCCCCTCTGCCATTCTTTCAGCCTGAGCAGAATGAACGCTACCACCAGTATCACCCAATGCAGGGTATCTGCCAAGAACACCTGCTCCAGATGCCGCCATCCCTGGCGGAGCCCACTTTGTGTTGCCACCTGGCATATGAACCAGTCTTGTGCTGCCGAGGTGACCAAAATTGTTGCTGGGATAACCTGGCCGACCTGGCAATCGCCTTGTGGGTGTCCTTATTCCGAGCCTCTTCCTGCGAACGCTGTGAGCCTTGTCTCCTCGTGCGTGCTTCTCACCAATCACAGCGAGTCGCTCTGCCTCATTAGCCCATCTCTGCGATCACGATGATACGGAGAACCTCAGGATTTAGTGAAGGGTCTAAGCAATTCTCGCAGGAGAGAGGCGTTATTAAATATGGAGAAAGCTTGAGCCTTCGCTGCAGCTATAAGACATGTGTTTTTCTGAGTGAATTCGTTGACAAAGCTTACTTGTCGAAACGTTTTGTGCTTGTACAGATATCTCCCCTTTACAAGAAGCTGTTTCATAGGTGGTAACGGCTGTAGGCCAGTGCTCCAAATCACTTCCACCTAAAAGCAAAAAATGTAGAAAGGACGGGACAGCAGAGCAAACGGGAGTATAAAAGACATGAATGTGCTTCCAGAAAGGAAACTAGGGATGGCAAAATCCTCGTTATCATTTGTAATGATGAAAGAGAAAGTGCTTACAGTGAAGGTGTGCTGCTGCTTTTTTTCGCCATAGCTCTCTGCGGCCACTCTACCTGCCACCATCCGACACCCAATGCACTTCGACTTCTTGCTGTGTCTGCACAGACTATTCAGTGCGATGCAGAGGGGAATAACGTTTATGTGGGAAACAGGAAGGACAGGAAGAAGATGGATCATAATTGAGGCTCACCCTTTGAAGATTCGTTGTCTAAAAAGGACGACATCCCTTCGGCAAACATCGCCTGGAAGAAGTTCAAACACGAGAAAAAAACAACTGTCAGGAGGCTCATTCTTCAGTCAGATGCACGTCCATCTGTCTTTCTAAAGTTTATGCATTTGAAACGCTCTGATCACCTGTGCAATTGATGGAGAAGGAAGAAGGTGGATACTTTCGCATGGCTGATGCGACATCCTTGATCCTGCAGGAATGAAAGTAAGACAGAACACGGCACGTGACAACGGTTAGTGTAATTTCACATGTCAGTGATCAGATAGACGGGTTTCCATACGAAGATTTTTAACAAGCCATTCGCGGCTGGAGAATATTAAACCTTACTCCACATGCTCCTGAATGCGACTGATTAGGTCTGACTTTAGTCCGCTCATCCTCAAAGAATGATGTCTCAGGTAAGCCTTGCACAATTCAACGGTCAGTTTGCTCCAGTCTCCCGCTGTCAACAGAACCAACAGATGGTCAGATGGTCTCGAATGTGATAGAAAGCAAGACCGACTTGTACACGACTCGCAAAATCTGATCAACAATGGGTTAGTACGAAGTTAAGAAAACAAAATATAACTCACCCTGAATCAGCATTAAAGATTTGTCGTAAGCACTGGAAGACGAAGAACATGTATCTTCTGTGGTATCGTCGCCAGTCTTCTTCCTCGAACTCTTGGAGCTAACAGCCTTTGTGATTTTGCTTTTCAATGTTGACTTATCTTCCGACTCGTTGTCTGAAAGCGTTTCGGCGTCATCCACCTCCCAGCAGCTATCATTGCTGTCACTGTCGCTGCTGCTTTCGCCGCTGCCATTGTCGCTGCCTGTTTCACTCTCATCGTCGATAAGCAAAATGGACTCGGATTTTGACTCTTCATCTGTCATTGTACTGCCAATCATTGTCCACGCTATCTGGTGGGACCACGCTGAGCGTGTTTTACCTACATATCGTGCACGCGAGCACAGACCACTGACTTACAACTCGCAAACTAAGTCGTGTGTTCCCTAGAACGCGATTAAATGGTAACTTCCAAAGCTGGAGGCAAGCGTTATCTCCTTAGGCTATTCGCTGAGCAATTGCTACACAGATTTCCTACGTGACATTGACAACTGTGAAGCCAGCTGAAAGCAAAACGGCATTGGAATCTTTCTGCTGTGCAATCCCGAGGCTGAATGGTACAGGGGATGGGATGGGATGGGATGGGATGGGATGTGTGTCGTTGCTCGTGAGGATGGTCAGCCATGGTAAATCATGCATCTCTTGAATCATGGATCATGATCCATGGTGATCCCTTTCCATGATGACCCCATTCCCTGGACCAGAGACGATGGATCATGCGGCACCACCACCATGCTCAAAAACTTTTCTGAAACGACCCAAGGTTGTGTCTGTTGCCAGAGCTGATGGTTGAGGAGCAGATTGACGGTGCGGATGGGATGGAAAGGTTTGACGCGAAATCTAGGCAACTGGTTCACACCAGCCGCGCACATTCCAAGCCAAGCCATCTTCTCCCACACTGCCAACCAAGCCTGGTGGTGTCTCTGACAAGCGAGAACGCTTCGGGTTCAAAAAGGCGAGGGAAAAGGGAACAAGTGTACAGTGCACGCATCCAATTCGTCTTTGCATTTGTCTTGTCAGGCTTTGCACATTATATCAAGCACCGCGACGCGATGGTGCATCAGCTCGATTTCATCAGATCTGCACCCTTTCCCCGCCAAAACACATCAACCCCCACCCCATTGTCTCGTAACAGGTAAGCCACAGCAGCACCAGAAAATGAAGAGACAAGTACAAAAGCTCCACAATGGATGCTGCCGTTTTGTTCGCTTCAGCACTTTCTCTCAGAGAAGCCGACATGGCTCATATTTGGAGCTAGATATTTGATTTGCTACCACTGGTCACTAGTACTAGTTACAAGGTTTCATAAATAGTACTCAGTGCTAGTTGCAAGTACTTGACAGCTGTGCACTCTGAATTCTACGGCAGTACATCCGGTGAAAACACATTATGACGGTTGACGCGCCTAATCGCACGATTAACTCGCTCGTCGCCAACAAAGGTGGAACCCCGTCCACGGCAATGGCAGCGAAAAGAGTAACGAACGTGACGGCAATCCCGATACTAGAGGCAGCACTACCACCAGAAGCAGGAGCAGTAGCCGCAGCGGTGGCGACGAGTCGACTTCCATTGTCAAGGCTATCGAAACGGGGAGTAGAGCGAGCTCGAGAGGCAACGCGTCGGAAGCTGCGGGCGTGCGGGCTCTGAGAAACAGAACGGTTCACGCTGGACGCTCCACGTCCGACGTTTACGCCAAGGCGTTGTCCTTGATCCAAGGTACTCTTCATACACCGCCTTTAGGTGGACTTTTGAGTCCACCTAAAAGTATCCTCGATACAAGGTTCGCGCCATGGATTTCTTATGACATCCCTTCCAGGCCTTTGCTGTTCAAGCTACAATCTAATATTCAAGCCGTATAATAGTGTCTGTAGTGTGTCGCCACGATGTACGTCGGAGTCTGTCAGGGGTTTCTGAGCACAAAGTTTCTGGCGGATTTTTCTTTTGGAGGGTCAAATCCACAAACGTTGTACTTTTCAATTATTGTTATGTCTCGCAATCAAGTCTATCATGCACGTCAGGGAAAATCTCGTGAAAATAGTCGTAACGCGTATTCCCGGCATGTGTTCGTGCGCTTGGCAGCGGGCGAGTGGAGCGAGATGACCGTTGGGCAGTGCCAGGCGTACCTGCGGTTCCACCGCCTGCGAGTGAGCGGCGCCAAGCCCGTCCTCGTCAGCCGCATTCAGGAGCACGTCGAGTGAGTTTGTTCGCGGTATAAGCTGATTCTACCTCCGCCTCCCCACTCCCCCTCCCCTCTCTCCGTCCTTCCCCGTTCCTCGGAACCAAACACTCTGGCGAAGAGCCATTCCATTGAGTGTGGAAATATTTCCATGCTCTTGCCTTCAAGATCCGCACGAAAGCATTTTAATGCATCCCTACGACAATGCTTGCTGTATGATGAAGCAGTGAACGCTTACAACGACTGGAAAAGCCAGATGTGTCCGTTTCTCTCTCGCCTCGCCCTTTCTGTCTCTCCTCGCCAGGATCAACGATGTCGCGTCAGCCATGTGCAAGTACCCGCCCGAATCCTTCTCCATCCACTGCAAAGGTACGCACCACCTCTCGCCCTCTCGCCCTCTCACCCCCTCTCCCTCTCAACCCTTCGCCCTCTCACCCCCCCGCCCTCTCATCCCCCCGCCCTCTCACCCCCTCGGCCTCTCATCCCCTCGGCCTTTCGCCCCGTACGCCTGCAACCCCGCGTGATTCTTGAGTCGACTCTGGCCGCCCACCCCTCCCTTTACCCTCCCCTCCCAACCCCATTCATGAAAATGGTACTAGCATACCTTGCTTTACTCTAGTACGGCACTCGAAAGAGCTTTGAGGCACCTACACATCTGAAATGGCTCAGATATCCCACCTTGTAGACCATACACCGCACGGTTAGCACTCGATAGCGATCCAGGTACACTTCTGGTTTGAGTTTTTTTTTTTCTTGGACACTCATTTCCCCTATGTGCCTTTGGTTTTTATGCGCCGCTGTCGAATGTCCGCGCAGGCGACGTGTGCAGGAACGACGTGGTGCTCTTCAAGCAGTGCCTCTTCAAAGGGTGAGAACCCCTTTCAAATCGTTTCACATGTTTTCCCGCCAAATTTCAAGTGCCTGACCTACCGTTAAGCCGCGTTTACATTGCGCGAAATGGTTCGTGCAGGCACAAGAAAAACTGTCCGGGGTGTCTGCAAGTGGCGGGGCGAGTGATCATCGAGAGTTACAGCGAATTGAAGCAGCAGCACACCTTCACTGTAAGCACGTTCGGGTCTATCAAGAGTGATCACGTGCTTGTGTACAGTAATTGCGGTTTACTAGTTGTTGAGGCTCATGGGCTCGAAGCCCGAGTTCTAGAGCCCCAGTAAGAACTTTGATACGTGAATTTTAAATTTGAATTAAATATTGGTTTTCCATATTTGAATCTGATATTTTAATTTTAATTTCAGGTGGAAGTGCTCTGGAGCTCGGGCTTGCAGCCTTTGCCGCCACTCAAGCAGCACATGCTGAAGGGGCGAAAGCTGTACGGATTTTCAACGCATCGCCAGGTGAGCTCGCCTTTTGAGACGCCATATTTGGCACATATTGAGAAACTTGCAACGTGGGAGTTCATTCGAATGTGACACATCTGCGTAACGGCTGTAGCTCTTGTCCTCTATGCTCTCAGCTTTGAACCAAGGAGTCCATGCCAGTCCTTCATCGTCCTGCGCTCTTCTCCCCCCTGTGTTGCAGCCTTGGCCCAACGAGGCGGAAATAGTTGCAGTTTTAGATGAAAAACATGCAAGGGGAGACACGGCCCGCAGTGTTCGCAACGTGCGCAAGGAAAGGGTTCGGTGGAGAGGCGAGCAGCTTCTTCAATGGTTCCCCTTTCTCTGTTCTCCCCTGCCCTTTTGCAGCCTTGGCTAAACGAGGCGGAGAGAGTTGCAGTTCTGGCTGAGAAGCACGCAAGGGGAGATGCAGCTCGCGGTGTTCGCAACGTGCGCAAGGAGAGGGTTCGAGTGGAGAGGCGAGCCGCAGCACGGAAAGCAGCAGGCGAGGCAGCTGTGGAAGCTGCCGCGAAGGCGCTGCAAGGGCTGGTGATCGGAGGGTTGGTAGGTGAGGGGGGTGGGAGGGAAGGGCGGGCAGTTGATGCAGGTGAAGAGCATGCACTGGGGAAATCAACGGCTGCAGCGGAAGCAAGAAAGGCAGCTGAAGGGCGGGCAGTTGATGCAGGTGAAGAACATGCAATGAGGAAGTCAACAGCTGCAGTAAGTTATGCCGCTGCAGCGAAAGCGGGAAGGGCAGCTGAAGCGGCAAGGGAGGCTGAAACAGCAGCTGCAGCGATGCAGCGACTGGCGATACGCGGAGGGGTGGGTGGTGCGACTGGCCAGACTCGAGGTGACGAGGGTCGAAAGGAGAAAGGGCCGGTGATTGGAGGGCTGGTAGGTGAGGGGCGTGGGAGGGAAGGGCGGGCATTGGAGGCACGTGAGGTACACACAGTGGTGAAATCAGGTGCAGTAGAGAATGACGCAGGTGCAGGGAGAGTGGTACGGGCAGCTGAAGTGGAGAGAGCAGCTGAAACAGCAACAGCAGCGATGCAGCGGCCGGCGATACAACGGGGGATGGGTGGTGGAGCTGGGGTGACTAGGACCAAGAGTCGAGGCATTTTAGCAAGAAAAGGAAAAAGCCCAAGAAGCTTCCGTCAGACCAACAACGAGAATAAGAGGGAGGAGTGGGAGAGGAGGCAAGAGCCTGTGACAAACCAAACGCCCTTGCGCAGTCAGGCGGTGAACGTGAGAGCAGTGAGATGTGACTCGAGGGACCGGGAGATACTGAGGTGGGAGAGGGCACGCGTGGGGAATGAGAAGGGACGGGGAGCGGATTCAGTGGCAGGGAATGAGAAGGGACGGGGAGCGGATGCAGTGGCAGGGAATGAGAAGGGGCGGGGAGCCGATGCAGTGGCAGGGAATGAGAAGGGGCGGGGAGCCGATGCAGTGGCAGGGAATGAGAAGGGGCGGGGAGCCGATGCAGTGGCAGGGAATGGCAGGCGTGTGGAGTCTGGCAGGGGTGTGATGGGCGCGGGTGGTCCTGAGGAGACGAGTGTGCTGAATTACCAGAACCAGCCAATGGGAGAGGTGAAGGGAGGGAGTCGGACCAGAGATAGAGGTGGAGGCAGAGACAGGGCCAGAGAGAGAGACAGAGGCAGAGAAACAGACATGGATAGAGACAGAGGCAGAGGCAAAGACCAGACGGAGATCCTGGACCCTTGCCTACCCAACCATCTCTGCCGGTGCAGAGCAGAGAAAGTGCAAACTGGCATCCACCATGCGCTCCGCAAGGAGTGCGCCCGCATTGCGAGGCAAGCGGGCTTCGGCGTTCAGGTGGACCCGGCCCTCTACTTATTCGGCATTGAGCTGGATGGCTTGCAGACGGATCTCGCCATCCGGCACCCAGACTCGGGGGCGGTGTGGCTGTGCTACATATCCGTCACCGACCCATTCTCCTCACCTCAAGGCCCGACAACAGCGCAGGCCGAAGGCTGGGCCGCATCCGCAGCGGCACGGCCCGAGGAGCACAAGCACGGAAACCGCGCTGGCCAGGTGGGAATCCTAGAAATGGAGGTGGAGATGTATGGGGGCTGCTCCCCCGGGGTGCTCGAGTTTCTCCACCTCTGCGCCAACCTTGGGGCCAAGCGGCTGTACAAAGCAGGGCGGGGTTTACGGGTGGAAGAGAAGCTCTATCACTCCTACCGGCAGCGCTTTTCCATCGCACTGCAGCGCGCCCTGGTAGACACGCTCATGGGCAAGAGCTTGACGGGCTTTGGGGCCGGGGCAGCTTCTACAGCCTACCAGGAGGAGCCTCTTAGCCTCGGGGATCTCATGCAAGTGATCGAGCCGTGGTATTAGTTGCTTTAGTCAGTTCACCTTTTGCTTGTATACGGGTTTAGGGACTAGTGAGTTTCTAGTGTGCTGTATTGACCACGTATATCTAATGAAGGACTCTTCGGGACAGAAACAGAGACGGAGTCAGAGACAGAGACAGAGACAGAGACAGAGACAGAGACAGGGAGAGGGACAGAGAGAGAGACAGGGACAGAGACAGAGACAGGGAGAGGGACAGGGACGGGGGGATGGGGACAGTGACAGAGACAGAGACAGATGCGACAATGATGACAGGTATGGCAGAGATAGCAGAGGCAAGAGAGATGATAGGTAGGTGCGAGAGAGGTGACAGATACGCAACAGGCAGTGCCTCCGTTATTAGTCTTAAGGATACCATTTGGTCTGTCATGTGACTCTTATGGAATTTTTGGGACCATTGAAAGAACAAGAAAGTTCTTTTTCACATTGCAGAACCAGTAACGGATTTCATTCCATATTTTTTTGGTTTCCTGATAAAATCTAAGCATATTTCTTACATTGCTGCGCCCTTACCGTATTTGAAGTATTCTTACAAGGTTGTTATTACATTCACTTCTATCCATCCCCACATCACAAGGAACAAGCTGCATCTTGTACGCGTTTGCATCTCACCAGCCCCACCTCACTCCCAGACCCATACGGTTCACGTAGTTGTTGCTCCCATACTCCATTCCATTCAAACCACCTGAGCAGCTGGACGCAACGCGGCTCGGCGGAAAGCACTGACTCCACATGCTCACTTATCAACGTTTTGAACTGCGCGATAAACCCTCGAACCACGCTCAACCCCGAAACTCTTCTTCTGTTGTGAGCGGAAGAGGCAGCAGCAGTACCCGAAGGATCAAAATCTTCAGGGCCCAGCCACCACGTGTGGTAGAAAAGGGAACGAAAGGATATCCACGCAAATCAGTGCTATTGATTCTTCGTTTCGCGACCAGCTCAATTGATTCTTGCTTCTCAGTTCCTGCAGCTCCAGCATCTCAAAAGCCCCATTCTCAACTCCGTGAAGCTCACTGTCGGCTTTTTACCATCCAATCCGGCGTTTGACTTACTGTCAGCTCAGCATGGCTCACTGGAAGCGGTCTGTTCTTTGCCTCCTCCTCGTCCTCGCGCTCTGCACGAGCGGAGCTCTCGCGGCGAAGAAGAGACGGTCGAAATCGTCAAGCGCCGCCATCAAGATGCCGAGCATCGACAAGCTGCAGTTCGAAATGGACGAGGCGAACAAGCGAGTGGCGGAGGCCGCTGGCGAAATGGACGAGGCGAAGAAAATTGTCGACGAAGCCATGCATGCGAAGAGACAGGCGGACCTGGAGGTGCGGAGGCAGAAGGAGCGAATGGCGGAAGCTATTGCGGAAGCGGAACGGGCAGAGGCGGAAGCCAGAGCGGCTGGATACGTTTTTTAAGGCAAGGCGCTGAGAGATGCGGTGCGGACGTATTCGAGCCTCTCGCCTCTCGGCTGAGAGGTGACACGCCTTCCAAGGCGCTGAGAGATGCGATGCGGACGTATTCGAGCCTCTCGCCGCTCAACCTCGCCGCGCAGCCTCGCTGCGCAGCCTCGCACGGCGAGATTCGTGTGACACGTCTCCCGTGGCGCACGCACCTGCATTTTGCATCGCTTTTTGGTACCAGTATATCCGTTGAGGCATGTCACATGGAGGTGGGGAAATAAGGTGACATACAATAAAGAGACTCTAGGTACCGTACAACAGTCTACGTTACCGAACCAAAGCGCTTTCCGCTGATGGCAGCGACCTATGTAATGATTCCCATTGATGAAATATCATCTTACTGATCGAGTAGCTTTTGAACATGACTCATAACCACAACGGGCCATATACTAGGACTGCACACTGCATTTGCAGCAATTCATGCATGAACCATCCATCTACAAGGCCTATTTGTCACTGAGGTTGCCGTTGCTGCTGGTGTCGCCAGTGGTGCTGCTGTCCTCACTGATGCCCGGCTTCGCTTGCAGGCACGAGCCAACTATTACAAGGAGGTTTACTTGTCACTAGTGTCGCCGTCACTGCTCGTGTTATCACTGCTGCTGTCCTCACTGATGCCCAGCTTCGCTTGCAGTTCCTTCACCTTGTTCTCCAGCTCATGCACCTGTGCCACTGCATTGAAAGGGGAGAAAGGAGAGTGGAGAGAGAGAGAGAGAGAGAGAGAGAGAGAGAGAGAGAGAGAGAGAGAGAGAGAGAGAGAGAGAGAGAGAGAGAGAGAGAGAGAGAGAGAGAGAGAGAGAGAGAGAGAGAGAGAGAGAGAGAGAGAGGGGAGACAGGATGAGGCATTATTGTGAGCATGCCTTGAGCAGCTGCTCACCTTGTTCTCCAGCTCATTCACCTGTGCCACTGCATTGAAAGAGGAGAGAGTGGAGAGAGAGAGACACAGAGGAGACAGGAGGAACATTGTGAGCATGCCTTGAGGTGTCTATAACACGACTTCATCCTTCTTGTTCAAGCCTCTCAGCCAATGTGGCCTGCAGGGCGTAAGAGAGGCAAAGAGAGGAGACATGGACAGTGGAAGAAAACCGTGAGCGTATATTGGCACTCCCATCCCCGAAGCACGACTTGACACTCCCATCCAGGTGAGGCATTGCTGCCGTTGATAAGCGTTGAAGGAGACATGCTGAGAAGAATTGTGCACTTCAGGGCAATATCAGAAGACTGTGCATGGCTGTAAATCAGAAGAGGCATGCAGCACAGTGCAGTGCAAGAGTTGCGTGAAGCCCAGCAACCAATCTTATCCCCACGTACAACCCAGATCACCCCTAGATCCCTCACACCACATTTTCTCTCCACACCCCATCAAGCATCCCCCCGTCATCTCCAACCGGCCCTGCCAACTCCCCTTTCTCTCATCTGAGTCAACTAGGGACACACATCTACTTTGTTTGAAAATTGAATCATCCAACTTACTCAGTTCGCTCTTCTCTACGTGCCGCTTAGCAGTGTTCTTCGCGGTGGTCTGTCTCCTCACACTCCTCACACTCCTCACACTCCTCACGCTCCTCACGCTCCTCACGCTCCTCACGCTCCTCACGCTCCTCACACTCCTCACACTCCTCACACTCCTCACGCTCCTCACACTCCTCACACTCCTCACACTCCTCACCTCCTCCTTCATCGTCTCCCCAAGGGCAATGTTAAATCAAGCGCAACTTTCTGAGTTCGCTCTTCTCTTTCTGCCGCTCAGCAGCGTTCTTGGCAGTGGTCTCCTCACACTCGGCCATCTGACCTTTGAGTCAACTCGGAATAAACGTGCCCACTTACTGAGTTTGCTCTTCTCTTTCTGCCGCTCAGCAGCGTTCTTGGCGGTGGTCTCCTCACACTCCGCCATCTTCTCAATCATCTTCTCCCCCATCGCGTGCGTCGCATCAAACTTGTTCTCCGCCTCGAATCGCAGCTTCCTCAACTTCCCCACATTCTCCTCACACTCCTCCACCTGGGGATCGCAAGGGGGCGACGAGGGTTGGGGGTTGTGAGGAGGGAGACAAGGGTTGGGGATTGTGAGAGGGAGACAAGGGTTGGGGATTGTGAGAGGGAGACAAGGGTTGGGGATTGTGAGAGGGAGACATCGCATCAAACTTGTTCTCCGCCTCAAACTGCAGCTTCCTCAGCTTCCCCACATTCTCCTCGCACTCCTCCACTAGGCATTCAGGCATAGGCATTCAGGCATGGGCATTCAGTCACAGGCATTCAGTCACAGGCATTCAGTCGTAAACATTCAATCATAGGCATGCAGTTATCAGCACGCAGTGAGAAAGGAGAGGGCGAGGAAGGAGAGAGGGATATGTGTGAGGCCTTGAGTATGCGTGCAGCAGCCTGAACAAAGAAATGGGAAATTCTAGTGTAGCAGCTTAAACGGAAAATGTCTTGAGGAGAGGCAGGAAAATCTCTTGAGGAGAGGCAGGAAAATCTCTTGAGGCGTCTCCAAAGATTCTTGAGAATTCTCGAAGCTCTCTCACTGGGCCTCGTTGGCGCGCAGTGAGAGGAGAGGCAGGAATAACTCTTGAGACGTTTCGACAGGCGTGCAGTAAGAGGTGACGCGAGGGGAGGGGACTTGAATGAAAAGCGAGGGAAGCACGGGGGAAGGGATGGGAAAATGTATGCGTAAGAGTACACAACCGTCTTCCGCGCGTCATCCGCGCGCAGAATTCCCCCGCGCGGCGCTGGTCCTCGTCGGCGCGCAGCATTCACCCCCCTCCCCCATCCACGCGCTCCTCGTCACTCTCGCCCCTCATCCGATGGAGAATGTCGTCTCAGTTTTCGGCGAGCCGCGCACGAGATGCTGCTCGTCAATCGGCGCGCAGCGTTCATCCCCCTTCACCGCTGGCCATTCTCGCCGCGCGCCATTCTCACCTCATCAAGGGTTGCGTCGCAGTTCTCGGCGCGCAGCATTCAACCAGCCATCTTCCCCCCTTCCCCCCCTCTCTTCCCCCCTACCCCGCCGCTCGTTCATTCTCACCTTGTCAAGGATTGAGTCGCAGTCCTCGGCGCGCAGCATTCAACCAGCCATTCCCCCCCCCCTCCCCCCCTCTCTTCCCCCCTACCCCGCCGCTCGTTCATTCTCACCTTGTCAAGGATTGCGTCGCAGTCCTCGGCGCGCAGCATTCAACCAGCCATTCCCCCCCCCCTCCCCCCCTCTCTTCCCCCCCCTACCCCGCCGCTCGTTCATTCTCACCTTGTCAAGGATTGCGTCGCAGTCCTCGGCGCGCAGCATTCAAACCTCCTCCTCCCCCCCCACCCGCCCCCCGCCGCCGCCGCTCGTTCATTCTCACCTTATCAAGGATGGCGTCGCAGTCTTCGGCGCGCAGCGGGGTAACCAGCAGGCTGGCGACGATCAACAGCAGCAGCGGGAGCGCGAGGAGCGCGGGAAGGCGAGCGGCACTCATTTCGTCGCGTAGACGAGTCGAAGCTCGCACGACGCGGAAAGCAGAGGAGAGCGAAAACGGACGGGCGGATTGGGAGGGGAGGAGGAACAGTCGCGGAAGTGAGCGGGAACGATAGACAAGGATATATACCGAACGAGAAGTAGCTAAATATCAGTAAGGCGCTCCTTCTGCTACCGTCGCTGATTTACAGGGAGCTAACGCTCATAAGAGTGTGTAAGAAAATGGCGACTGGAGACACTTCCTTCCGCTGTGGGGACTGGTACTTCGATTGAAACACGCCAGCCGTGGAAATTTCCAGAAGCGTGATGTCTAGCATGGGCGGTCAAGACTGGTTCACGTTCCCGAGCGTCTGTTTTCCGTCACCGCTCTAAACCGCTACTTACCAGCCCGAACAAAGTTTGACACAGCACTACCGTTCCGTTCCTAATTGAAGCAATCCGCGCTTGTAACTGGCGAACCGTAGGAGAAGATTCTGGAACTTCAAGCAATAACCGGACCAGTAGTCAACCTGTTGCAAATTAGTTGTGACCAGGCATTTCAAAAGTATGATGGGTTGATTTTGAAGGAAATGAGGACACATATAAATATATACAAGATCAATGGAATCGCTTTGACAAATGACACATATCCAGCTACATTAGTCGGCGAATCTAATGCTCGAAGTCCACAGAGAATAACCCTTAAAAATGCTCAGAAGATCCTCCAGGGGAATCCAGGGAGCAACCATTCTGCCACTCTGGGTGTTTGCACGACGCCTGGTGCAGCAGTAGGGCGGTTTCCAGCGCGGTCACTCTGCGCTGCAAAGCATCGACATATGCTACAGCCTTGTCGAGCATCGTGGCCGTGTCCCCATGTCCGCGCACCACCAAGCGCAGCTTCTGCAGCCCCTCACTGATCCTCTCCCGCCTCTGCCTCTCCGCCATGCTCCGCGCTTTGATGCGCCCACCCTCCATTTGCCTGTCCTTGCGCCCGCGATTGCGCGGCAACCAATCATCCGCATCATGATCCGCCGCCCCATTGGCGCCTCCACGCGGAGGACTTCCGCCAAACCCAGCCATGATGGCATAATTTGAATTGTCATAGTAGTTCATGCAAGCTGCTGCTTCTGGCGCGGCCATGGCTGCTAGTGACGCAGGCGCAGCGGGTGCCGCACGGTGCACATTGGTGATGGGCAGGCGCAAGGGCATTGGCAGCGGGCCATGAGCGAGCGTCCTGCCGGCGGGGTTGGCGGCATGAGTAGTTACCGTTACTACTGGCAGCGGTGCAGCCGCGAGAGGCGCGGGATCGTTGGGAGAAGCAGCGCCGGGTGCGGGGCACGGTCCGCCGGCCCCGCTGCCGCGGAGGATGACATCAGCAATCGCACGGCGCAGCTGGCGCGTCACCTCCGACTCCCCCTCGCTTCCGCCCTCGACAGGCGCATCCGCGGAAGGAACCTCCTCGATCTCCGCCGCCTTGCGCTTCCGCGATCCTGCTGGCAGCGCCGCGGGTGGGAGGAACTCCCGCTCATCAAGGGATTCCGGTGAGGACGGCTCGTCATCGGCTTCCGCGGCGGCGGTGTCGTCCGCGGCTGAGTCCGCGAGAGCTTCCATAAGCGCCGCGAGCAGCTGCTTCCGCGCCGCGCGCTGTCTCGCATTGCTCGCGTTGGCCTGGACGCTCTTCTCGCCCCTCTTTCCGCCAGGGGTACTGTCGCGAGCGGTCCAGGGAAAGGCCGCGGCCGGGAGGTTGAGAAAGGAGTCAAATGCAGTGTCCATGTCGCCGGAATCGGGCAGAGGAGATTCTGGGATGGTTTCAAGGTCGAACACGCGCTCGAACGGAGACTGATCCATTTCTGTGGGCGTCATCGTCGGGAGCTGGGGAACTGGCTCTTCTGGAACCGAGGGGTCCTGAAAAACGGCGTGTTGGAGAGTTGGGTGTGTTGGATGTGTGTTGTGGACTGCGTGAAAGTGAGAAGGGCGTACAGGTATTTGTGCAAAACACGCACAGACAAGTTCGAGGTTTCCCACAAACCAAGCCCAAACCTGTCTGCCTGGGGGAATGCGGCTGAGCGCCATGTTTGGCCTGACGTGGCTCCAAGGCTTGGCGGCGTGTCTTGATGCCGCAGGTGCAAGCCCCTGGCCTCCCCGTGAATCGCCTATCGAGGGTTCTTGTTGGCAGCGATAGCTGGCGTAAACCCAACTTGTGATGCTAGTCTGTGCCAGCTCCCCCCAGGAGCCCCGCGTGGATTGTCAACTGGGCCGGTGGCGAGGGTGTTGGTTACAACTTCGCTTTCGCGTTTGACAGAGCTTGCCCCCAATTGGGCTGCTTGGGATGTCAATAGGGTATCTCCGCCTGATCCGAAGCCGACATAAAGCGCGCCTGGTCGAAATTCGCTGACATCGCCACCGCATTCGTACGCGCCCTTCAACTCCTCCCCTTCAAGGGAAGGGGATCACATCTTCACTGTAGCACTCTCACGACTATGTAGAGCCAGTAATTTTGCCACGTCGGAATTACCTTGAGCCCCCAAATGTAAGCGCACCATTCTAATAGAGAATGCGCTAAGGGCGCGTGTCCTTTGGTGAAGAAGTTCGGAAAAAGGTTGAACTTTTGCTGGTAACCCGTTTCGTTTATCTCGCCAAAATGTTCGCGAGGAAATCGTGTGTCCTAGGTCAAACTGAGTGAAAGAAGTAGGACACTGAACTAAAGTCGACCTGCGTTCAGATTTTTGCGTTTTCATTCATCCAGTCGTGTGTCCTTCTGCGCACGTACGAAAATCCGCGAGGTTCACGACAGTAGCGAGGTACATCGTACCTGGTTACTGAAGCCAGATACGGTCACGAACTGCACCGCCCTACCGGGTAACCTACGAAAGCTCAGCGCGACTCGGAAATTACTGTTCAAAGCTGAACTTCGCTAGTCGAACTCTTATGTGCCGTGTGATACATGTGAAGTGAGGAACAGCGGCTCGAGCCAAATGGATCTATATGCTCAAGCCTAGGTCGACCTAGGTTCAAATGGTAGAAGCTCAACTTAAAAGACGAGTTTTGCAAAACACTGTATAAGGACACGCGCCCTAATAATCAGAATAATGAGCCCGTATCCAGTATTGAATCATGGGGGGTACGGTATGGGTGCAATTGTAGCGAGGTAGCGATGATTTCACTAAGTTGACAAACGAGTACAAAGTATGAGCGAAAGCATGAGCGAATACTTATAAACGAATCATGCAAACAGTAATGCGGTGCGTGCAAGCTAGCTAGTGTGATGCTGACATCGAGGTTCGGGCTAGTCATGAAACGTAGGCCGATGCCAACGATGCATGGTTTGGTGAATAGTGCGCACTAAGTCGGCGAAGCCCCATTAGCGGTAACGAGGGAAGAAACTGTTACAAATAATAAGTCGCTAGAGTGCTGTCGAAGCTCTAGGAAAATAACGACGTCCCTGCGGCAGTGCAATGGTCACTTAGAGGTAGTTATCCTGGCTTGTAAAGTGGTGCCAAAGCGGCGGCCGAGGGTAGGTCGGACACAAGGATGAGAATTGTGTAATGATAGAAAGGCATTACATTCTGTTATATAGCAAACGCATAGGACATGCAATTACCGTGGCGCGACTGTCTAACAGTTGCGCTGCGTCGCTTGGGTTGCCTTGTTACAGTCGCGCTGGCGAGACTGTTCAGCTTTGGCAAGGGCGCGGTATTGTGACGCGTCCTACAGGGCGCTTTTGTTGTATAGTACAGGCTGCCCACTGCATTCGCGACTCTTCAGCTGCCACGAGGGTCGCAACCACTGTACGTGGTTACGCCCCTGCAGCTCGATAGTTTAGTCAACACCCTCGCCATAGCGAGGCTCGTTATTACACTTTTGATAGTGTAGTTGATAATGAAAACCGTACAATCATATTCGTAACACTCTCCTCCACTATTATAAGTGTATAACCAAGGAGAGGTGAAGTTTTGCCGGGTTGAAGATGTGAAGTCCTTTCGAGGGACTTCTCCGGGATGCCTTGAACGACGTGTTGCCGATTCGCTCAAAATGTTGCAACGACACGTTGAAATTTCCTCCACGCAACACTCCGTGGGTTGAGGCAGGTTCAAACCTGCTCTAAGAGATACCTCTGGTGGCGATTTAGGTGGTGAGTCGAGTTGTATAAATCTGCTCCCACAGGTTCCAAGGATTGGAACACTTGCTCGTGATACCATGTTATAAATAATAAGTTGCTAGAGCGCAGCGGAAGCTCTAGGAAGATAACGGCGTCCCTGCGGCGGGGTAATGGTCACTCAGAGGTAGCTCTCCTGGCTTGTAACGTGGTGCCAAAGCGGCGGCCGAGGGTAGGCCGAATTCAAGGATGAGAATTGTGTAACGATAGAAAGGCATTACATTATGTTCTTTAGAAAATACATAGGGCAGACTGTTACCGTGGCGCAACTGTATAACAATTGCACTGCGTCGCTTGGGTTGCCTTGTAATAGTTGCGCTAGCGAGACTATTCAGATTCGGCAAGGGTGCGGTATTCTGCCGTGTCCTACAGGGCGCTTTCGTGGTACAGTACATGTTGCCTACTGCATTCGCGACTCTTCAGCTGCCACGAGGGTCGCAACCACTGTGCGCAGTTGCGCCTCTGTAGCTCGAGAGTTCAGTCAACACCCTCGTCATAGCGAGGCTCGTTACTACATTTCTGATAGTGAAGTTTATAATAAAAATTGTACAATCATATTCGTAACTGTACGTGATGTTGAGCAGCGCAGTAAGGAATGTTGAAAGTTTCCTTCCCCTCCCCCCCCCCCCCCCCCCCTCCCTTCAAGAAGCCCCTTCGCTACGCGGGCGCGTGTATATAGCGAAAATACCGGCTTCGCAGGTACACTTGTAGGGCAAGGTGGTTTTCAATGTTGGCTAAGGGCACCCAACTGCCCTCCATGGGGGTGCGGTCCTTCCAGCAAACGAGGAACTAAATCCTCCAAATTCCCGCTGGGTGACGAATCCGATGGCTATGTTGTTGTTGTTGTTGTTGTTGTTGTTGTTGTTGTTGTTGTTGTTGTTGTTGTTGTTGTTGTTGTTGTTGTTGTTGTTGTTGTTGTTGTTGTTGTTGTTGTTGTTGTTGTTGTTGTTGTTGTTGTTGTTGTTGTTGTTGTTGTTTTTGTTTTTGTTTTTTTTTTTTTGTCAGGCTCGACGATCGGCTCCGATGTAGGACACGTTATCGATGGTGGGCGATGGCATGGCAGTTGGCTCGCTGTGGCGATGTAAGGGCGGAGTACAGTGATGTGGAATGACGGGCTGATGTACCAGTCAGTCAGTAGCAGGAGATGGGCGGTAACCGGTGTTATCATGTGGCCGATTTGGAATTTTCCACAGTGGTACGACGGTTGGGCGAAAGTTCTATATGTTGAGCACTACGTAATTTCCACACTGGTATATCAGTGGGTGGCGGTGGGCATTCCTTTTAGCGACGACCTTTGTTTTTTTTTTTGTTGCATCTACTGCGCGCGTCAAGGCAGCTTGCAGAATCTCTACAAACTGTTGTGCGTATGGTGTTGGGTTGTCCAGGCTCAGTGTCATGGGCACTGTACGGCTTTGCCCGTAGTTCAGGTAAAACGGTGACTGTTGCATCGTCGCTGACGTGGCGTTGTTGTCAAACAATATATTTGTTAGGTTATACGCTACAGTGATGTACTCTCTAGAGGGCACAACCCAATCAGGGTTTACTACTAGTATCTCATTGTTGCTAGTCATTCTCATTCTGTTGTTTACATGTTTGACATGGAATCAGAGCCTAGGTTAGGTCCGTACATATCGTTGTGACCTCTGCTCGTACGCTGCCCCATGCGCTGTGCCTGCTCGTGCGCGCTGCCCTGCCAGTACACTGCCCCGCACGCCGTGCCTGCCCGCACGCGCTGCCCTGCATGTGCACTGCCCCACGCTCCGCGCCTGCCCGTGCACACTGCCCTGCCCGTATGCTGCCTTGCGTGCTGCGCCTGCTTGCGCTCGTTGCTGTGCCCGTACACTGCCCCGCGCGCTGTGCCTGCCCACACGCAATGCCCTGCTCGTACACTGCCCCGTGCGCGCGCCTGCCCGCGCGCACTGCCCTACCCATACACTGCCCCGCGCGCTGCACCTGCCCGCGAGCGCCGCCCTGCTCGTGCGCTGCCCCGCGCGCCGCTACTGCGCGCACGTGCTGCCCTACTGCCCGGCGCGACGAACACCCAGCTCCCCTGCTGCCCAGCGCAAAGCTCGCTTCGTCGTCCTGCTACCGCGCACGCTTGCCCTGCGTGACGCACACCCTGCTCCTCCTCTACCCCGCTGCCCTGCGCGACGTGCGCCCCTCTGCCTCGCTCGCAACTGTCCTGCGCGACACACCCCTTGCTGCCCCGCTACCCGGCCACCCTGCGCAACGCGTGCTCTGTTGCGCCGCTCGCAGCTGCCCAAAGAAAAAATTGAAAGTATTTTTAGTGCCCAGGATAGCATAGAAACTAACCAATTAAGACAACAGCATTAAGCGATGCACGCCCCGCTGCCTACCGCCACGCGCGCCTCGTCCCCTACTGCCACTACAGTTGCCGCAGCCGCCCCGACAGCTGCCGCTACAGCCGCCACTGCAACCACTACTCTAGCCACTGCTGCAGCTGCTGCTACTTCCACTTATGCCGCCACTACCACCGATTGTGCCTAGAACTGCAACTTGACCTAGTTACTGTCATGGCCACTATCACTGTCCTAGCGGTTGATGAAGACGAGCACCCTTTCGAGTTAGAGTTGTGGCTCGAGTGCCTACGCCAGTATCTCCGACATCTCCTTGTTCAGGCACACGTCGGGGTCCCTTCAGGCCCCCATGACTCCCACTGAGCCTGCTGCTGGCGCTGGCGAGGACGTGCAGTGGCGATCTGCGTTGCCTGCATATAGTGGACAGAGTGCGACGCTGTCGCCCAGCTTGATGTCCGCACTTACCTGCCGTTCGATCAGAGGGCCCACTTTTGTCAGGTGACATCGGCCCAGGCTTTTTACGACGCTTTGGTTAGGCACTACTCCTCCCTCTCTCCTGCCACGCGGCCGTAGTAGCAACGGCATCCGTTGTTCTGGGAGTGGCAACAGCTGGTCAAGGAGGCGAGTGTAGGTGCCTATCAGTTTGCCCGCACAGGTGGTGCAGTTGGTGGAGGCGGAGGTGTTAGAAAGTCTAGGCAAGAATGAATGCATTGAAAGAAGGTTGGGTACAAGTAACAAACCCTAGAGGGGTTGTACCCCATATTGGCTACCCCACTACAGCCTACACAAGTATAACATATATAGTTTGACACACCCCCATAGGCAAAGTGGGGGAGAACAAGGGGTCACAAGACCAGTCTAGAGAAGCAAAGCAAGCTCAGGGTGGATCACAACGTCACCACATACTCTGAGCACAAGCAAACGGCCAGAAGGCCAGTTCACATGCAGAAGTATATATGCAACAAGAACAGCACAGTGATCTCTACCTAGCAAGAGCAAGCATGCAGGTATATATATAGAGATCACAGTACAAGCAGAATCTACAGCAAGTGTGGAAACGAAGGCACAAGGCCTAACAGGGTACAAAAGCGCTGAAGATCACCAGACGAAAGCGCCTTGGTGAATATATCAGCAGTATTGGCCCGGGTGGCCACGTGAGTAAGGCGAAGCTGACCCCGCTGCTGCAACTCTCGAGCCAGGAAGTAATGCAGAGCGATGTGCTTCGTTCTGTGCTCCAGTCTGTGCTCCTCGCACAAGGCAATGGTGGCCTTGTTGTCGACGTACAGCACTGGAGGAGAACGAGGCTGCTCTCCCAGGTCAGTCAGCAGGTAAGTGAGCCAGCATAACTCCTGTGCAGCCACGGCTGTGGCGTAGATCTCAGCCTCACAACTGGAGCTGAGAACAGAAGACGAGCGAGTAGAACGCCAAGACACAGAACCGGAGCCAAGGCTAAAAGTGTAACCCTGTGACGACCGCTGTGTAGCCTGGTCGTCAACCCAAGAAGCGTCTGAGTGCCCAGTGAGAACCACGTCTCTTGGCCCTCCAAGCACGAGCCCCATGGCCAACGTACTGCACAAGTAGCGCAGTACCCTCTTCGCAGCATCCCAGTGCACCTTTCGGTGTCGACCAGGAGCCACGCAACGGGCCAGAAGGCCAAGAGGGTACGCAAGGTGAAGACAAGTGCAGGTCATCAGGTACATGAGGCAGCCTACTAGCTCTGGGTAAGGACCACTCGGCTCTACGGACTCGTCCAAAGGTGGAGCTGAGAGCGAGTGACCTGAAGCCAGAGGAGTGGACTGTGGCGAGGACCAGGTGAAGCCGAAGCGCTGAAGGACCTGCTGCACCATGTGTGACTGAGTCAGTGTGATGGTGCGGCGTGCTCTGTCCCGGGTGATCTGCAAGCCAAGGTAGCTGCGCAGTTCACCCAGGTCTGTGCACGTGTGTCTCTTCTGCAGCTCTGACTTCACCAGGGCGAGAGCCTCAGTGTCAGCAGTGGCAAAGACCAAGTCGTCGATGTACACGAGGATGTAGAACGGCGGCAGTGAAGTGTCGGTGCGCAGAAACAGCGACGTGTCAGTAGTCAAAGGAGCAAACCCAAGAGCCGCAAGTGTCGTCCTCAGTGTGTCGTGCCACTTACGAGGCGCCTGACGGAGACTGTAGACTGGCCGCCGGAGGCTTCACTGGGTACCAGGCGGGAACGACCCAGTGAAGCCAGGTGGGCGGCGCAGCCAGATCTCCTCGTGCAGGCTGCCCTGTAAGAAGGCTGTGCTGAAGTCCAGTGAGTGAAGCTCGTAGTCACGCTGAGCGGCAATGTGCAGTAGCACCCGAAGTGTGGTCATCTTCGGGGTGGGGGAGAAGGTCTGGAAGAAGTCGACTCCCTCTCGCTGACTGAAGCCTCGAGCAACGTAACGAGCCTTGAAGACAGGCGGAGAACCTGGCGGCCGCTTCACCCTGAAAATCCACATGCCATCAACGATGTTCGCCCCAGGAGGGGGAACCTCATCGGCGTAAGTGCCTGTGGACTTCCAGGATGCCATCTCTGCGTCCATGGCTGTCTGCCACTGAGAGGAGTAGGGGCCCGCGATCGCCTCAGCGTAAGAGCGCGGGGTCGGGATGTCTATAGCATCCGGGTCTCCCTCAGGGGCAAGCAGCATGGCCACGAGATGAGGCGCAGCGGCCGCAAGACACTCAAGGTCCTCCTGTCTGTCCTCAAGGACGTGCGTGCCAAGAGCACACTCACCCCCGACGGACGGAGGACAGACAGACTCAGATTCAGCAACTAGACCGGCAGCGTAGTCTAGACGACAGGCAGCAGCAAAGTTGACAAGCTCAGCGACCAAGGCAGACGCAACAGCAGACTCAAACGACGGGTCAGTGACAACAGTGGCTAACAGACGCGTGACAGTAGGGTGCTCATCACGAAACCGGTCAGACTCAGGGTCCGCAACGTCAGGCAAAGAGGACGCAGGAGGAGACGGCAGAGGAACAGAATGCGGAGCAGAGAAAGGACGACGGACGACGAGGTGCGCGCTGGGGACAGCCGGCGAACGCGGACGAGGAACACGACGACTGGTACGACCAGAACGAACAGGCGAGACAGGACGCGACGCAGGCTCACGACGCTCAGCAAGACCTCCTGCCTGCTCAGTGTAAGGGGAAGGAGCAGGCAGCGGTGAGCCAGGCTGTAACGAAAGACCAGTAGAAGACGAGAGGCTGAGAACCTGACTAAGTACAGTGTCAGGCGGTGGCTGAGACGACGGAGATGGTGGAGCGAAGAACAGTCGCGGGGGTGCAGTGCCACCAGCACCAGCAGCTCCAGTACCTCCAGCAGCTCCAGAACTCCCAGCGCCAGCACCTCCAGGACCAGCTCCACCAGCAGCAGCACCCCTAGACCCAGGGTCTCCAGCCGCAGTGTCTCCAGCAGTGGCACCCGCAGGCTCAGCACCTCCAGCCCCAGCGGCTCCAGTACCTCCAGCACGAGCACCTCCGGGACCAGCAACTCTAGCACCGCCAGTAGACAAAGGACCAGTACCACTCCCAGCTCCAGCAACGTCAGCAGCAGCACCTCCTGCGGCAGAACTCCGAGCTCCAGAAGCGCGACCCTGACGGCGACCGTACCAGTCGTGGAGCTGCTGTGACGTAAGCGGCACACGCGGACGAAGGCGGCTACTCCAAGGAGACCGCGCAACAGCAGACTCAGAACCCTCAGCACCAGCACCCGCAGCAGCTCCAGAACCTCCAGCGCCAGCACCCGTAGCAGCTCCAGAACCTCCAGCGCCAGCACCCTCAGCAGCTCCAAAACCTCCAGCTCCAGCGCCACCAGCGCCAGCACCTCCAGCAACTCCAGAAC